GCGGTCACATATATCTTTTATGAACAGGAAAGAGAATGTGAGATGTTAAGTAGAAATGCCTGGTCTGGCAGAGCATAATCTACAATATGCAAGGGCTCTGGTTCATCCTCAGCACTGTGGGAAAGAAACAACAGAATGGGGATGTCATTCAAGGGAAATGTTGTGTGTCTGAGTGTATGTAAGGGGCAGGAGAGACAGCTCAGAGGTCAAGAGTACCTGCTGCTCTTACAGAGAACCTAGGTTTGGTTGCCAGCACCCACGAGCTGTTCATAGCTGCCTGTACCTCCGGTTTCAAGGGTCTGGCTCCATCTTGTGGTCTTCTTGGTATCACATGGTGCACGTACACATGAAAAATACAGGTGAATTTTTTTTTTTTTTTTTTTTGGTTTTGTTTTTGTTTGTTTTGTTTTTTAAAGCAGGGTTTCTCTATGAGGCCTAGTTGTCCTGGAACTCGCTCTGTAGACCAGGCTGGCCTCGAACTCACAGAGATTCACCTGCCTCTGCCTCCCAAGTGCAGGGATTAAAGGCATGAACCACCACTGCCTGGATGAAAATAATCATTTTTAAAGTATATATGGTAAACCTTCAGATATTGTTAATAACTCAAAATCATGGAAAATCATAAATTCAAAAGCTTCACCAGAGAATAATGCAAAAATAGTTGTAAAAGGAAAGGTAGAGGGATGAAAAATAAGTGGGGTAAACAGCAAAAATTAAGAGGAAGATATATTCCAACTCAATCAGTAATTAAAATAAATGTGAATGGACTAGAGCAATCCATTTGGACTGCAGAGATTATCAACCTAGGTTAAAAAAAAAAAAAAAAAAAAAAAAAAAAAAAGACTCAGGAGGCAGAAGTAGGCAGTTTGAGGCCAGCCTGGTCTACAAAGCAAGTTTCAGGACAGCCAGAGCTACACAGAGAAACCTTGTCTCAAAAATAAAATAAAGTAAAATGGAAATAGGAAAAAATTAACAAAATGGAAAGGTTTAAAAGTGGGGTGTGAGTGCCATGGTGCCTGTGTGGAAGTCAGAGCAACTTTTGGAGTCAGTTCTCACCCTCCACCTCGCTGGTGCGGGGTCTCTCACTTCTGCCACTACACTGCACACTTCTGGCCGACTGGCCCATGGTCTGCCCATTCTCCTGTCTCCTTTTCCATCTCACAGGAAGAGTTCCTGGATTAAAGATGCCCAGCGCTGCATCCAGATTTTTACCTAGATTTCAGGGTTTGAGCTCAGGTCATCAAGCTTGTTCAGCAAGTACTATTACCTCCTTTTTTAATGAATAAAATTGCCGTCTTTTCCTGGATTGGCTGAAAAAAGGGGGAGAAAACTCAAATTATTAGAATCAGAAAAGAGAGATAGTAATACTAACGTTATATAAATAATGATTATAAAAGAATCCATTAACTGTCCTATGCCAATAAACTGACAAGTAAAGTGGTCATATTATTAGAAATATCTGTTAATTAATGACATGTTCACCTAGTGATTGACATTGTGATATATTTACAGGCTGCTGCCTTCTCCTCTCAAAGATGCAGTGGAAGTGTCCACCTGGAGAAGATGCTATGCCAATGCAGGAGGTAAACTCAGCCCTGAGTAAAATCCAGCTGGTGGGATATTCTCAAAAATTGTGAGTGTTGATATCTTCATGAGTGTTTTCATGAGTGCCACTCCTCTGTTGAGTCCCTGGGGACTCTGGAGCTCTCTTTTTCGCGCTTCCCTCTCATCCTCATGCTAGTTTCAAGAAAAGGGGATGTAGGTGGATCTTCTCCAGCCTCTTGCTTTTTAGTGGTACTCAATCATCAAATTTTCTGTTCCCTGACATCAGCTAGAACTGGGTTGGCCAGCTGGTGATGAGTCTGAGAAACTAGACACAGCTTACCCATCTGAGACATAGGCAATAGAAAACAAACAGCTCTGTTGTTGACCTGCAGTTAGAACCATTCGGAACTGAACCTAGCCCAAAGTGGAAAAGGAATAGTCTGACTCTGGTTCTTGGGGTAACTTGTTACCCTTGCTCTTAAATGCCTGGCCCTGTGTATCTGGTGACAAGACAGGAGCAGAAAAACTCCAGGATGGCTTCCGTCTGTTACTTCCTTTGTCTTCAGTTTCCTTTAAAATAAGGACATTTCTGTTGCTTTTTCCTTTAAACTGACATAGCTTGCTGATAACATGTTCTCTCTGGGGTTTTGTTTTGTTTTTGTTTAGGAGCTTTTGGTGCTGTTCAGGTGACCCTCTGAGCTCGGGCTATGCCCTAGGAAGCTCCAACTGGATTATCCAGCCCCATTATGAGAAAGTGTCTTACGTCTCCGGATCCTCCTTGCTTACCACACACCCTCAGGTAAATTAACTTTTAATCCACAGCCTGTGTTTACTTAATTCAAATTCAGAATGTCTCCAGTGTACTATGAGTAAGCCAAAACCTCTCACTGTCTCTATTTCTTGATACTCTGGGAGAGTTAAGACTGTTTAGGTCTTTATATTCAGGATTGTGTTTTCCTTGGGAGAAATTCTTTTGTGCTCAAGGTCACCTCTAGGTTGATGATTCCTGGCCTTCCAAGACCCTGCCTGGCCTGATGTAGGCCACAGAGATTGTTGATTCTCTGAGCACTCACTAACTACTGAAGGCTTATCAAAGGCAGGGAGCAGGCTGGATATCATTGTCAGGATTGAGTGGCCACCAGACAAGGTCTCTGCTTATAAGTCTTATCTTCAGTTGATAGTCACTAGGACAAAGATGAATAAAGAAATGAGCTGTGTGATTTCAGACTGGGTAGGAGTCGTGTGAACAGCACAGCAGGTTTATTTCTAGGGAGATGGAGATAGTCTAGACCGGCTGGTCCATCTGAAACCAAGACTGGAAGAGCTGTGTGATGGTGTGGAGGAAAGCCTACAGAGCTGGCTGATGAAGAGTCCCTGGAGCAGAGCAGGCAGAGCATGGAAGAGGGAGAAAGCCCATGGGACTACAGTATACTACACAGCCAGGAAAGGAGCAAGGCCAGGTCACACAGGCCTTGTAGACTGTGATGAGTTCTGATTGGCTTGTTTTGTGGTATAATTGTGGTATGTTTACTTGTACTATGTAGTTTGTGTACTTGTATATGCATGCATGAGAAAAAGATCAAGGCTAGGCATCTTTCCTTGATCCATCTCTACCTTGATTCTGTGAGACAGGGTCTCTCACTCAGCTTGAAGCTCACTGATGGGAGATGTCCTTCTGTATATGTTTCTCTTATTGGTTGATGTGAATAAAACACTGACTGTCCAGTAGGCAGGAAGTATAGCTACAGGGCTACCAGATGAGGAGAAGCTGGGGAGAGGAGTGCAGAGGGAAGCCGCCAGGGAGAGATGCCATGTAGTCGCTAAAGGAGTAACATGTTGAAGCCTTCCCTGTAAGATAAGGCCACGCGGAAGTACTTAGATTAATAGAAATGGGTTAATACTCAAGAGAGAGCCAATAAGAAGCCTCGAGCCATTGGCCAAATAGTTTATAAATTAATAGACGCCTCTGTGTTTATTTGGGACTAAATGGCTTCAGGACCAGGTGAACAAAAACCTCTATCTATAGCTCACCAATTCTGCTAGACCAGTTAGCCAATGAGGATCCACCTGTCTCCGCCCCCCCAACTCAGACATGTGCCATCAGACTCTGCTTTTAAAGTGGGTGCTCGGGTCTGAACTCAGGTTCTCATGCTTATGCTGCATTTTACCTACTGAGCCACTTCCTAAGAGTCCCGCCCCCTATTGTATGTTATGTTTTGTTTGATTGAAATGGGGTCTTAGTTTGTAGCTCTGGCTGGCCTAAAACTCACCATCTAGACCAGTCTAGCTTCCAATTGGCAGATTAATCTGCCTCTGCCTCTGCCTCTGCCTCTGCCTCTGCCTCTGCCTCTGCCTCTGCCTCCCATGCACTAGGCTTAAAGGCTCGCATCACCCACCACCCCTTCCCACTCCGTGCTTCAATGTGGGAGGGGAAACTATTGGCAGGTTTAAGTTAATCATGCATTACAGTTACAGTTGGCAGTAAATAAGTTACATATAAACATTGTTATGAATATAATAATCCTTGGGCATTGTAGAGAACTTACTGTTTCTTTTTGTTCAGAAAGGAAGAGTGGTCAAGATTAGGTAATCAGTTGCTGAACATATACCTTATAGGAGTCCCTGTCACATTTTATCTTTGAAATTAATTGTTTATTAATGTAATCTTAATATGTTATTATCTTCATAATAAACAGAAGTTGAGGCTTAGACCTGAGCCCAGGCCCTTCCGGTCTCTTTGTATTTCTACCCTTTCCTGACAGTGGTCTATACCACAACCACCTCCTACTGCCTCAACGTTGCTTCCTGGGTACATAGAGAATCCTCATCCTGTGCTCTGTTCCTTTGTGAGGTTAATGCTTGCCACACTTCTTACAGAAAGTCCTCTCATGTTTTAGAAATATTTGTGACAGATAAATTTATGATTTGCCATGATATTTTTATGTGTATACGTATATACACCTTACAGAATGGCTGACTCAAGCTAATTAGCTTACCCATTTTCAAATAGGAAAAAATAATTTGCATTTTGTCTGAAACACTGGTAGTGCCGCCAGTCTGCAGTGTTTATGTTTTCTGTTGGGGCGAGGACAGGCTCTCATGTGACCCAGACTGGCCTCAAACATGATGTATAGCTAAGGATGACCTTGAACTCTGTCCTCCTGCCTCTACCACAACCTATTATCATTATAGGTGTACCACCACCCCTGGCTCATACCTTCTTTTACAACCAAGTTTTATCTCAAGGTCTAGAGGAAACAAGTTCCTATGTTTTCCTGTAGCTAGCAGAATTCTGGGCCCTTCCCGCTTTATTGAAATCAAAAATCCCATCAATGTCACTTCATAATCTGCCTCATTGAATCAGATTTTTTTATTGGCAGCTTTTTTCATTCTTGATGTATTCTGCCCTAAAAGACAGGAGGATGACTTGGCTGCCAGCTGCTCTGATTTGTCCTGCTTAGATCAAAACCTTTACAGTACTGTTGACGTAATTTCCAGTAAATTGTCCTTACAAGGGCCATAAATTCTAAAGGGAAAATAAGGTCTTGAGAATGATGAGCAACATACCTAAATAATTGGTTTTAATTTCTTTATTTGGCAACCTGTACTATATGTAACAAAGAAAATTACAATAGATTTTTCCTTCACCCGTATTCTTGGTTTTGCATTGAATAAGTGGGAATAAAGAACTGTAGTTTGAAAAAGAAGCCTGATGGTCTACTGTGGAGGTCAAGAAACTGTGCCCTGGGCTGTGCCTGACCCACCACACTTTGAGGGGGGGGAGTGATTAAATAAATAAACAAACCAGGTTTTATTTGGTTACAGACATAACTTGTTTGTGGATCACTTATAGCTCTCGGTCTATGCTATGACGGCAGGTTTAAAGTTAAACTTCACAGAAAGTGCATTGTCCTCTGGGCTGCCTAATCGGAGCCTCTGCAATTGCATTGAAACACAACCCGATGCTGCAGTGATATGTAAATACAAGGGAATGAGGCTTTTGTTTAAAATGGAAGTGGCAAGAGTAGAGAGGTGGCTTTAAGAAAATGTAGGCTGAGCTGGACGCTAGTGCCACACACCCCTTTATTCCCAGCAATTAGGAGGCAGAGTGCAGGGGATCTCTGAGTTCAAGGGCAGCCTGTGCTGTGGAATGATCCTTCTGTACACCTGTAAATATGTGTTACTCTCATTGGTAAATAATAAAGCTGTTTGGACTATAGCAAGGCAGGATAAAGTTAGGTGAAACAATCAGACTAAGGACTGGGATGACGTAAGGGGCAGAGTCAGGAGAGACTTGATTGAGTCGCCCAAGAAACAAGATGCCAGAAGAGCCAGTAAAGCCACGGGCCATGTGGCAGTACATAGATTAATAGAAATGAATTAATTTAAGAGCTAGTTAACAATAAGCCTTAGCTATTGACTGAGGATTTCGTGGAATTATAAGCTTTTGTGTGTTTAGTTTGGGGCTAGGCCATTGGAACAGAAAAATTGTGCCTCCATTTGTAAGCCTGGTCTACAGAGCAAGTTCCAGAACAGCCGAGGCTACACAAAGAAACCCTGCCTTAGAAAGAAGGGGAGGGGAAGGAAGAGAAGAAAGGGGAAGAAGGAAAGGAAAGGATAATCTTTAATTCAAGAAACTTCTATGCTAGGCCAACAAGATGGCTCACCGGGTGATAGATAGATCCTACTGCCAAGTCTGAGGACCTGAGTTCAATGCCTGGGACTTATGTGATGAAAGGGGAGAACAGACTCCCACAGGTTGTCCTCTCACTGTGCACAAAATACACACACCACAAAATAATTACAAATTTAAATGCAGAGCATTGATTGGTGGCCACTGTCTTCAGGGAAGAAAAGTGACGTAAAGATCTGTGTGGAATGGCATTGAGAATAAGGACAGGTCCCATTTGACAGATCTGTCTCAGAAGTAGATTGTAGATAATGATCTATGTGAACCAGAATATTAGCCCTAGAAATACAAGGCCAGAACCTGGGTTGAAGGCAAGTCTAGAAACAAGTTGGAGAATCTTCATACTTCCTTTAATTAAATAAATAAAAGTCTGAGGGCCAGAGATCTACCTGTAGGAAAATATTTACCTGTAGACCATGAAAAAGGAAGAAAAGTATCTTGTGTAAGTATGGCTGAAAGAAAGAAGAAATTGAGGCTGTCCCAGAGGTGAGGGATGTTGTGCAGGAAGGAGGGGCACAAATTCTCAGCGCTGGACCCTGCTGGCACTGACACTCAGCTACCATGCCCAGCTCTGACTCCTGTGCCCCCTCCCTGATGGTATTGGCTGCAAAGACACCACTGTGTGTCACCCAGATCTTCTCTTCCTTCCCTGGCTGCACTCCAGTGCGGTGTCGACACACAGTGATTTTACTGGGTTTTAAAGGGAGTGCTTTTATAATCCCTTAGAGGGATGCTTTACAGTCCCTTGGATGAAATGTGTTCGTGATCCATGCTGTTTTTTAAGGAGTTTCTCATTTTTACTTTCTGGTTTTTTGTTTTGTTTGTTTTGTTTTGTTTTTGTTTTTGTTTTTTTAGACCTGGCCCCCTTGTAGAGTGTGAGATAAGCCCCTATGATCTTCTGCCCTGTATTTCCTTCCTTCCTTATATCTTAGGGTTAAATTCCGCCCCTACCCCATTTCACTCCCTGTTGTCATTTAACTGTTAGTTTGGTATGCAGTGTTTTGTGGTTCATCTTAAATAGGTTATGATGCCCTCTCTTGTCTTCACTCCTTAAGCAGCCCAGTGGTATTTTACTGCACTTTTATTTTCAGTCCATTCTGTCTGGTTAGACTTGGATTAGACAGGACTTTTTTTTTTTTTTTTAATTCTTGGTTTGCCGCTGTTAGCACATTTAATTGTACATACTAATGTATTTCACTGCACTATTTCCACACATGCATGCAGTGGTATATTGATCATAGCCAGCCATTGTTCATTCGTTCTTACCACCCCCTCTTCCCAGTGCCTCCTATCCACTGTCCTCTTTGGTTTGGGATGAGGAGGAGGGGATGGAATCTTTTTTCCTTCCTGCACATGAAAGAGAACATGCAGTACTTGGCCTTCTGTGGTGTTTCTATAGCTGGTAATTTCCTAATGTACTGTTCCAGTTACATCTATTTTGCTGCACATGACAAGATTTTTGTTGTTGTTGTTAGCTGAGTGGGCTACATTGTGTGGCTATCTGCCCTGTTCCCTTCATCAGTTCATGTCTTGTGAGCACTTAGAGTTCTTATCTTTGCTTTGTTTCATGAAGTCTTGTTGTCCATGTCTCTCTATAAATGTGAATTCTTCCCATAATCCAAAGAAAATATTTAGAATTTTTGAAAAAACTTAAAACTGTTGTTCAGGTCTAAGGTAGCCACTCGATTTGTTGGTTTGATTTTTGTATTGTGAACAATTTTCTTCTGAATTGTCCTAAAAGTTTTGTTGCTGTTTGTTGGTTTTGTTTTATTTTGAGCTCTACATTTGATGTACAGCTTTCTCACTCCTGAAAAAAGTTAAATCTTGTAAAATAATGGGACAAAGGGCCACAAGAAAGCTGAGCTACAAACAGGGCCTCAATCTGTTGGTGCCCTGGCTCACTTAATGGACCCCAGGGAGCCAGGGAGGGGATCACAGCAGGTTCCTCTCTCTCTCTCTCTCTCTCTCTCTCACACACACACACACACACACACACACACACACACAAATAATGTGTACTGCTTAAGTGCATGCCTGCGTGTATTTGTATTAATTTCTCATGAGGAGAAGCTATTTGTAAGCTCCTCCATTTAGCAGTGTCTGAAGAGACAAGGGAAGGACAAGATGGTGGATGCATGTGACCTTTACAGAAGTTCTGATAGGGAAAAGAGCTTTTCTCCACAGTGCAATTGAACAACATTATTATAAGACCAGAAGTTCACTGGGGAGTCCAGGGCTTTCTGGTAGGAGATTGAGGAGTTCATGGAAGGGTGGGGTTTGAATTAGTTTTGGAGGGCAGAATTGTACTTTGTGGTCTGGGATGTTTTTTTTTTTTTTTTTTTTTTTTTTTTCTTGCCCAGGCAGTAAATCCTTAACTGTTTCACTCATTCCTTCTCTCTCCCTGCCATCTGGGATTTTTAAGGTGTAAAGGGCCTTCCGAGGTTTCTCTGGATCCTTGCTGATTAGCATTTTCACTGTCTTTTAACCAGACTATCATTTCTCCTGTATATTTCAATCATCTAGTCTTCTGCACCCTGACTTCCTTTTGTTGTAACTCCTGGATCCTGTTTCACATCTAACAGTGAAATCACTACCTTACCTAGCAAGGCTTGACCCTGTATTTCCACTATCCCCTTGGCCTTCACTTTGTTCAATAAGTGTTATTGCCAGAAGCCATTCCCTGTTTCCAGAATGCTGACTTCTTGTTGCCTGCCCTGTTCATAGGCATCATTCTGACCTTTTAGGCCTTTCTCAGTTACACTCTTTTTTACTACTGTCCTCTGCACATACACACATAGACACATAAGCCTTCATGTGCACATGTATATATACACACAACACCACACTTACATACACATAAAAAGTTAAGTGGAAAGAGAAAGAGAATGTTGACAGGAAAAGGTAATGCAGAAGTTGGATCTGATCAGTGTGCATTATATATGCGAATGAAAATGTGATAACCAACCCCGTTGTTGTGCTTTATAAGTGAATGTGAAAGAACTTATACATTAGTTAATTGTTAGAGGACCAATACAGTAGTAAACACAGTTCTTACTAGACTTAGAGTTTGTAGTTTTAGATGTTTATGGATATAGATGTTTTATAGATGTCTGTGTACCATCTGCTCTGTACCTATCAGAAGAAGATAATCAGATCTCCCCTAGAACCAGAGTTATGGATGATTTTTTGAGCCACTGTGGGTAGGTAATGGGAATTGAACTCCAGTCCTCTTTAAGAGTAACCAGTGCTCCTAACTTTTGAACCATCTTTCCAGCCCCCAGAATCTAATCTTAGACTTTTTACTGTTTTATTCCACCTGTTTATAACCATCAGTTTTGTAAGGAACTTTTTATTCTTAAACAAGTTCAGTTTTTTTTTGTGTTAAAAGATTTCCCCCTTAAGTACCCATCACGTGGCTGTTGACAGCCAGTAATATAGATGAATTTATCTTTGGTGAAGTAAAGACATTTTGAAGTGTCACATGGGTGTGGAGAATGTCACTAAAGCCTTTAAGCCTGTATCTGTCCTGGAGCCCTAGGCGTCAGTAAGGCATTACAAACATCAGTCCAAATCCTGACCACTAAGTATCTTGTAATGGTCTCCAGATCAGGCTGCTCACACTGGACACCGCCTTCCATTTGCTTGTGGGTTTTTAGTTTTCAAAAGAGGTGTGGATGGCTAAGGCTCAGAGGTAGTGCTAGAGAAGATTCATTCTCCATTATAAATCTTCTTTCTGGTTCAGTTGTTCTTAAACTTTTGAGGTCATGGTCTTTTCTGACCACCTAGTTAAATCTGCAGAGGCACACAGAATCAAACACACCATTTCAGGGGACCTAGGGACCCTTTGAGGTCCCTCCTCCATCTTAGTCAGTTTAGTTGCTATCTTAAACCAAATATGTCACTCACTGTGCTGCTTGGTTCCCTGGGTCACCATTTTAGTTTCCTTCTAAATACACAGGAAACAGGCCAAGGCTCGGTGCATAGCTGCTGCTAAAACCCATTGTGTCCCCTATGATGCACACTTCCTTTTGGAAACAGTGGTACATAAGTGTAGATCTGAGAAGTTCTGCCCAAGAATAGAAAAGGCTGTTAGAAGCATTAGTAAATATCTGCATGTTCAACACTGAGCTCTCTCTGCCCAGTTAAAGAAGTTTCTTCAGGTTATGAGCAGTTTGTAACAGGACCGTATTCCTTGTTATTTAATGAAAGAATGAAGCCACATGTCTCCATACTTTGAACTCAAAGATGAATCTCTCAAGAGGTTTGGACACTCGGAGTTGACAGTCTAGATTTGGGGTTTTACTGGGCTGCTCTCCTGGGTGTTCTTTCTTTACTGGGGAGTAGACCAGACCAGTGGCGCCCAAAAGGAGGGATGAGAGAGACATCTTCACAAAGTGTGTGGTGTGGCCTGGTGCTTTTTCAGGACAGTCAGCACAAGATGAAAACATCTTTAGACTCTCCAGCCTCTCAGTTCTTGTACCTTTGTTTCTAGTCAAATCCTAATATTGATGTGTTAAATAAGGATCAGGATAAACAAATAGGCCGACGAGATGTTTATTCAGGGAGAAATAACTTACAACCTAGACAGATGAACACCAGGGAATTCCACCCGATCCTCTCCTGTCCGGAAATCACGCTCAAGAGAGCTTTTCCCCGCCCCTCTCCGACTCCTCCTTCCACAGGTCGCTCCGCCCATGGCTCCACCCCCCAATAGGCCTGGTCAGTTGCCCAGGAGGACGGGTCTCACTACATCCCTAATTTATGCAGAAAAGCAGAATCTTCTTAAGTGCTCTGAAAATAATCATAGTTTAGAAATCATGCTAGGTAAAAAATAACTTCCAACATCATAAAGAAATCACTGTCATGCCAGTGGGGTTCACAGTTCACACACAGATACTCACAAGAGTTAACTGAAGGGATAGGTCAGGACTGGCCATTTCAGGAACCTGGCTCGAGGCTTGCTCAGGAATTGGAAATAGAGCACATTTCCACCCCAGTGTTCCTTCTGGTTCCTCCAACGCTTGCTACATAGGTAAATCACCGCCTCTGTCTTCCCATAACATGTGATTGTCTCCCTACACCTTACACCAGTTATTCTGAGAATGAGTTAGTTACTCGGTTCAGATGTGATTCCCAGGCAAGCAGGAGGAGTATTCCCCAGAAACTTGCTGGAAATGCAAATTCTCAGGCCCTACATTGGGAACAAAATCAGAAACTATGGAAATGAGCACAGCAGCACACTTGAGAGGGGAACATTGGAAACAGGAAGCCTTTCCTGTGATTGGCAGGGAAAACTTCGGTAAGGATGGATCATGGTGTGAGGCCAGTCAGTCATGATAGAATTGTTGCTCACTCCAGAGTTGCAGAGCCACCAATGTGGCCCGAACTTTCTGCTGGACTAGACCCAGCAAGAGAAGCATTTACTCTTCTACCGTTGCTTCTTAGAGGTAATTGTCCTTTTGTAAGCTGTTAATTAGAGCTTTTTTTTTTTGTCTTTCAGCCCATGGACCAAGCTTCTCTCAAAAACAGCGATGTTCTGGTTCTCACTGGACTCACACAGATCCCCACTGCCAACCCCGACGGCATGGTGGGCGAGTTCTGCAGCAACCTTGGTAAGGGCCTTCTCAAGGCTGAACTTGTGTTCTGCATGCTAGGTTTATCCCTCATCTGAGTAGCCCTCCAGTCCTGCCTCTGCGATCCCTCTGAAACCTCCCTGCTCTCCTTGTCTTCCACCCTTAGGTTCCTCCTCCAAATGTACTATGTCCACAGGAGACCACCTAGGGAATGTAAATCTGAATGTGTGCTAAGAGTTGTACAGCCACACACCAGAATTGTTAGCAGGTCCTAGAAAGGTGATCAGCATTCTTTCACAGACCATATTGGTTAACCTCTTACTATGGGTATGGCAGAAGCATGCTTGCAGGGAAACGCAGAAGGGTTACATCCCCTAATCTGCTTTGCACATCCTAGCACAGAAATGACCCACATTTGAAATTCACACCAGTGAAAAGATGGGTGCATAGGAATTGTTCTCACTAAGACTTGGTTGCCTTTATTTTTTCCTCTTTGGGGAAAAGACTAAATTGGAGCCTTCAGGATGTTTTCTGCTTGGAAAAACATTGATTTTTCCTTTACGTAAAATTGTCAGTGAAGTCTTGCAAATCCCATCCTTGTTTTAGGAAAATAGGCTGGCTCCTGTCTTTGTACGTGCAGGCTATGATGACAAAGTATCATCGTTGGTGTATAAACTGACATGACCACCTCACGGTATGGTCAAGGGAGTGGTTTTTAATGTAGATAGGAGAGAAAGAACATCGAGAAGTATCTAGAAGAATCTACAGGAGAGAGAAAAAGTAAAGTGAACATGGCCGGCAGACTGGTTATAGCCAGAACTCTTGGGGGTTGGGAGAGGGTAGCAGAGGACAGAGAATAGAGAGACTTTTGTGAGAGAAACAGAGGAGAAAAGGAAGCCATGAGCTGGAGGGGAGTTTAAGGGAGGAGAGGAGGTGAGAAGGGCTAGGTAGACTAGCATGGACTTTGAAATGTGGACAGGTACTTGTGATACTGAGGGAGCCTGGAGACTAGCGTGTGCTTTGATGTGCTGATAGGCACCACAGTAGCTATGTGTCCCTTCTGCCGGAAGTAAAGGAAATGACTGGATTTGGCAGATGGAAACCAGTTTCACAACCACCAGAAATCCTCCTATTGTCCAGGTTGAGCTTATTTCTGGATATTCAGACTGCCTTTGGAGTTTGAGGACTTGGAGTTTCCTTTGGATCTAACAGTTGGGTGGCTTAGGCAGTGAGCATCTGTCTCACAGTCCTGAGACTGGAAACTCTTGAGACCCAGACCACCACACTTTTCCTGCATTCTCACATAGAGCAAAGGAAAGCAAGCCTCTCAGTTCCTCTTCATACAGAGGCACTACTCTCACCGTGGGCTCTCTGCATCCATGAGCTCATCCAAATGTAATTAACTTCCTTCTCAAGTCCCTACTGAACATCATCATATTGGCTGTCTGGCTGCCACATATAAACTCTGCAGGGCAAGAGGCACAAACATTAAGTCTGAGATAGCTCCAAGAGGGGTTAAGGGGATGACCTTCACCTCCCAGCAACTTTAAGTGGTATTACTCTGGCTCCAGAAGGCACTGTCCTTTGAAATCTCCTGAGCCTTGCTACTAATGCTGTTTTTATTCTTTGCCATGTAAAGCCGAAGGTAATTTATTCTTGCTGTGGAAAAGCTGTTGCGCTGGTCTCTGAGAGCTTCGAGTTTTGTGTATTTGTTAATAATCTAGAACCACAGACTCAAGGAACTTTAGATTTGGGGAAAATCCAGCATCGAATGCACTGTGTCAGATGGGGGTCCACTAACCACTCTCCTCAAGATCATCGAGGTCAGCTAATAAAAATGCAAACTTGAAGGTCCTTTCACAGATCCACTCGGCTGGGGGAGAAGAGGACCTGGGAGAAAAGCTGTGTATTCAGCATGTCCCCTAGGTGACTTTTATACAAACTAAAGCTTGAAAAGCACTGGCTCCATCATTCTCCTCATGTACTAATGAGGAAACTGAGGGGCCAAGCCAGGTTGAGGCGGGCAGCAGACTATCCAGTCTCTCTGAAGTGTTTCCTTTGTCCTGTGTTCTAATGGCAGCAATTCACAGCCTCCAGGAGACCTGTCTGTCACAGCAGGAATGGGCAGGGCTCATGACTTCAGATCCCACACCCAAAGCCACCTGCTTCCATTGTTTTATAAATGAAACAGAAGCAGACTTGACTTACAGATTTTCAGCTACTCAACACTTTTAACACATTACAACCCACAAATTGTGATTAATTCTACATTCCATAACTGGTTTTCGGTGTTTAATAGGTAGTTTCTTACAGACAAATACTAGTGAGAGAAAGTGCAATGAAAAGAACTTAAATGGAAAAACAGTTTATTTCCTTCTTGGATCACTCAGCCATGGTAAGAGACTGAGCAAAGATGTCCTGCAAATCTTAAATAGGATTTAAAGAGAAGGGACTGGTTGGAAGCTTGGGTTCAATGGAGTCATTAAAACCCACACCATCTTCCCAGAGACGGTGATGGAGAACATCAGCCTTCAGGCCTGTGCTGCCCTGGTGTATGCTCCTCTGCAGAAGAAATGGATGCTTGTGAAAGCATTGAGTCGTAAGAGGAGGCTGTGGCAGGAAGGTTGTGGGGGGACATATAGAGAATAGTGGAGTTATGTGTGGAGGGAAGGGAAGCCTGTGATTGGAGGAAGTTTAGAGTAGGTAGGAGGTAGGAAGGACCGGACTCTACTAGGATGGACTTGAAATGTATAATAGGTACTGGTGATACTGCAGGAGGCTGTATCACCATAGGCATAGGTAGCCATATGTCCCTTCTGCCAGAGTTAAGGGAAATAAAGGACTCCTTTAGATTGATGGAAAGTGGTTTTGTGAGTTCTTGAGGGATAGTCTGCTGGCTTTTATCTAACAGCCAAAAATCCTCCTATAGTCCAGGTGAAGCTCGCCTCTGGACGTTTGGACTGCCCTTTGGAGTTGGGAGAATTGAAGTTTCCTTTTAATCTGACAAAAGCTACAGAGCAAGATCCTGTCTCAAAAATAAACAAAATCAGATGTGAGAAAGCAGAAGAAATGTAATTGCTGTTTTAAAAGCTGCATTTGCCCTTCTTAACACTGTCCTTTGGGTGCCATCTTCTCTTTCCTCAACTTTTTCCCAGCTCTGACAGTTCGGAATGGAGGAAATGTGTTGGTTCCCTGCTACCCTTCTGGAGTGATCTATGACCTCCTGGAGTGCTTGTATCAATACATCGACTCCGCTGGCCTCTCCAACATCCCCTTCTACTTCATCTCCCCAGTGGCCAACAGTTCCCTTGAATTTTCCCAGATTTTCGCTGAGTGGTATGTCAGTGTCCTTCTCAATTTCTGCTTCAGTACATTCAGTTAGAAGGGTGAAAATGAGTCTCTATGTGTGTCTGTCTGTCTGTGTGTCTGGTCTATCTGATCAAAAGATTGAACTACTGAAAGTAAAATCCCACATACCTCAAGAATTTAGAAGCATAGTTACCAAGGAGAGGATTAAAGAGTCTTGTCTGTTCTCAAAAAAAAAAAAAAAGAAAGAAAGAAAGAAAGAAAGGAAAAATCATTGCTTACTTTCCTACCTACTAAAAAGAGAAGTTAGTTCCATTCTAAAAGGTCTTCACCCCCAAGTTCACCTTGTTGTAATTGACTATATCTAGTAAGAAAAGCTAGAGTTTTATTTCCATAGCCTGTTTTTCTTTTCTCTCTTTGGTTTTTTGAGACAGGATTTCTCTGGATTACTTTGGAGCTTGTCCTGGATCTCGCTCTGTAGACCAGGCTGGCCTCAAACTCACAGAGATCCACCTGCCTCTGCTTCCCAAGTGCTAGGATTAAAGGTATTCACCACCACTACTACTGGCTGAAAACAGAATTTTACATTACTCTGTCCTAGTGTATCCCAGCGGTATGACCCTTGCTCCCACCCATGACTTTGGTATGGGGATTTTCTTCCCCACTAAATTGTGGTTTCTCCCTGAATTGACACTGCTCATCTTGGTGGGTAGGACTATACTTTGTTGTTGGTCCTCACTGATTTTTATCCTTTACACACAGGTATCTTTCCCACATAGGATGCCCTAAACTTTATTTGTAGATTGAATCAGGATGCTGGAAATTTGTTTTCATCCAGATCCCCAGTAAAAATATTGCAACACACTCCTGGGCGCAGCCCTGAAGGCACAGTAGACAATGCACCCACCTCACCAGGTATGTGGCTGCAAGTATGGCTGTCACCCAGAGTACACAAGGGTGAGAGTACTGTAGGGTCTTTCTGTGATTTTGTTTTATAGGTGTTTGTTAGCTTGTACGTGGGTAATCCATGTTTACTGTACAAAAACAAAAACAACAACAACAACAAAAAAAAAAAACATAGAGACCATGAGCCAACACCACCACTGTCAGGATAAACCCACTGTTAGCATGAGACCTAGTTAACAGTTTTGAGACAACACCTTGCCAAGTGTGACCATTTAGTCTAAATTCTGATTTTGTTTTCCTAAAGGGTTCTAGCTCAGTAGTGCAGTGCTTGTGTAGCAGAAAACATTTAATTATATTAAACCATTATGAAGTCTTTGGGAAGACCACCATTTACTTGTATTCCCAGCACTCAGGAGGCTGAAGCAGGAGGATCATGGGTTCAAGGCCAGACTCAGCTATAAGTCAGACCTTATCTCAAAAAAAAAAAAAAAAAAAAAAAAAGTAACACAGGGCTGTAATATTGTCTCCTTTTTACATCACTCGCATCTGTATAATTTAGCTTATTATCTTGCTATTGGCTGGCAGGGCTTTTCCTTTTAGGAATAAGTCATAAATTGATACTATTTTATATATGTATGATGATAGCATTTGCCTTAGGTAAGTTACTAAAAGTGGAGTTACTGGAATAAAGGGTAGAAATATTTTTTTTTAAAGTTCATTATCTGACACTAAACTACTTGCCAGAAAGACTTTCATGTAAATTATTCCTTTTTTTTTTTTTTTTTTTTTTTGTTCATTTACTTCTTAGAGGTTTTATATCTCTTATGTATTTGAACTCTGTGTATATATTAAAGATATTAACTTTTTGTTAACATTCTCTAGCCATTTTTCTCATTTTGATATTTTTTAAATTTTATCTTGATTTGTTTTTCTGGTTAATTAACTTTGTACTTTAGAATAATTTTAGATTTACAGAAAAGTGTAATAATACAAAGTTCCCGTACACCTTTCATCTGATTTCCCTTGATGTTAATGTCACTTGTGACCAAACATATTTATCAAAACTAAAATGTCAGGGTGACTAGAGACATGTTTCAGAGGTTGAGAGCATGGATACTCTTTCAGAGGACCTGAGTTCAAGTCCCAGGACCCACATGGCAGCTCCCAAGTATCTGAAGCTCCAGTCCCAAGGGTAGATCCTATCTTTAGCCAGTGCGGACACTGCACACATGTGGTACACACACATACATGTATACAACACACACACACACACAAAATAAAAATAAATAAACCTTCAAAAAAGAGAGAGAATTTAAGAACTAAGTAATACTAGGCGAGGGAATGATGGCATAGGCTTCTACTCACAGCATTTAGGAGCCTGGAGGAAGGAAAATTCATAGATCAAAGCTAGCCTCAGCTGCATAGTGAGTTTGAAGCCAGCCTCAGCAGCATGAAACACTACCAGACCAGAGATCTGGGAGCCAGAGCTGCCATTCCAGCTTGGGATGTGCTTGAGTGGCAGGAGCCACAGAATGAGTGTGCTTGCTTAGGGAAAGGAGTAACATCCAAAAAGCAGCTGGTAAAAGATGGAAGACTAGCTGCCCAAGGGTTCTGCGGGAAACATTAGGAAGAAAGGGAGAAGGAATGGTGTAAAGAGGAGTGAGATTAGGCATATGGTCTTTCCTGAGTGACTTAGGAATTGTGGGAAGCTCTCCCAGCATTAGGTCACCGCCCTCCCTCCTACCAGCTGCCAGTCTTGTCCTGAGCTATATGTGGGAGTCCTCTAGGCAGCTGGTAACCATCTGAAAGCCACAAGGTACTGGGATTTTGAAAATGTCACCATTCCAGTGTGGCCTGAAGCCCAAAGGTAGCTGCTCTCAGTCAGGGTCAAAGTCCCCACTTGCTTTAGGCACCTTGTTTCACTTTGCTAGCCCCCTTGGTGTAGCCTGCCTGCAAAGCACTTTCTCCCGATGGGAAACGAAGTTGCTGTCTAGAGATGAAGCCTGGAGTAACGCAGCAAGAGATTGTGGTGGAACCAAGTTAGGCCTGGTCATCCCAAGCCAGAACCACCATCCATTCACTGGGTCTTGCCGCTTCCCCTGTTTCTTGCTTGGAATGAGGACAACCTCAGACCCAACTGCTTCCTTGTGTCTGTTGGAAGCCACTCTGTAGTTCCTGATTGCAGGGCCTTCTGCTGTAGCCTGCAAAAGTCCCTGCTCCCTAATAGCCCAGTGTCTACCCCAGCTCCAGACTTAAGGGTACATTTTGCTTGCTTGGTTGTTAGGTTTGCTTTCTTTTTAGAGGATAGAGTGGAAGGGAAGGTCCCAGGGACTTCCTGTGCCACAGTGCCCTCAGAAGTGTATAAATCTGACACCTGTACCCCTTGTTTTTACAGTATTCTCACGGGGTTCTTAAAATAGGTTCCTAAACCATATAGTGTGGTGTGCATGCTTGTGTGTGTGCTTGCATTGACCAACCTGGTCACTACCCGTTGACTGGTCAGTTAAAAGGGTTTTTTTTGTTTTGTATTGTTTTGTTTGTCAAATTGCAGTTTTCCAGGCTTCTCTGTTTTTGTTTTGAGCCAGAATCTTTACTCTGTAACCCACTCTGGCCTCAAACTCAAATCCTTGTCTTAGTTCCCTTACAGCTGGCTGAGCGGTGCTTCTGTAATGGAATAGGGCATGTGCGTCAGCAAAAGCCTTGTCTCAGAAAAGGCAGGCGCTCTTCTCCCAGACACTGCCGAATGTAACGCGGTGTCTCAGGCTGGGTCCTGGGACAGGAAAAGGACCCTGGAGTGGGGAGATAGCCAAACCCAAATCGAGTCTGGGCCATGGTACAGGGGCAGAGTTCTTGTCTATCATGCACAAAGCAAAAATCAAAACAGTTACAATGATGATATCCAAAACCTTAGTGTCTAATACACTTACCTGGGCATAGCAGTGTCACACCAGCCCTTGTGAGTTCCAGGCCATCTGGACCACATAGGAGCTGGGTACAAAGAATGTTTCACAATCGTGTAAATTGTTAACACTGAGAACATGAAAACTACTCTCCAACTTGTTTATAAATCAAAGATTACTCCAAACAAGTAGTCTATTTCTTTAGAAAAACTGCTTGCAAGAGACAGTGTCCTGAATGAGCTGTAGGCCTGGCTTTTACTCACTTGAGTCAGTGCCAGGAAGCTTTAAAACAGTGGTTCTCAACCTTCCTAAAACAGTTCTTCAAGTTTTGTTATCCCCCGACCATAAAATTATTTTGTTGCTGATTCATAACTGTAATTTTGCTAGTGTTATGAACAATAATGTAAACTTCTATGTTTTCCAATGGTTTTAGGCAAGCCCTATGAAAAAAACCACTGCTTTAGCTGGGCGTTGGTAGTACACGCCTTTGATCCCAACACTCAGGAGTCAGGAGGCAGAGGCAGGAGGATCTCTGTGAGTTCGAGTCCAGCCTGGTCTACAGAGCGAGTTCCAAAGCTACACAGAGAAACCCTAGGGGAGGGAGGGTAGAAAAGAAAAAAAAAAAAATCCCTACTTTAAAAGAATGTGTGTATTTCCCTGTTTGTGCTGCTGCCACTAGGTGGCAGTAAATGCCAGTGCACTGCTTAATGCCTTGCTGTGTCTTCCTCTTTAAAGGCTTTGTCACAACAAACAGAGTAAAGTGTATCTCCCAGAACCGCCTTTCCCGCATGCAGAGGTAAGAAAACAAAACCAGTGAACCAAGACACAAAAGAAATGTGGATGGTGATATGATGGGATTAGAGACAGGTAGATCTCTGAGGTCCAAGCCAGCCAGGGCTCACAATAGGATGCTGTTTTAAAAACAGACAGATTTTTAAAGAAGATAAGTACTCCAGCTCACAATTCATTTTCCTCCTCTAATTAATACATCGTATTACAAACTCTGGACATTTCACAGCCCACTTCTGCTATAGTCTCTGCAAGGGACTTTTATTTTAATATCTACTCCCCACTTTTTTAGGAGCAAATCTGTTATCAAAATGTTCTTTCTAGTCATGGCGATCACACATATAATATTTCTTTAATGTTTAAACTATTTGTATATGTGTTCATGTGTGTGCACCAGTTAATTGCCCACGCACCTTGTTTTGAGACAGGTTCTCTAACTGAACCTGGAACTTATTAATTCAGCCAGGCTGGCTGGCCTTCAAGCCTCCTGACTTCACCTCCCCAGCACTGGTCACAGAGGCACACCAGCTTTTTATCCAAACTCAGGTCCTTGTGCTTGTATTGCAAGCACTTTAGCAACTGAGTATTCCTGGTTCACATGGAAAGTTGCAGTAGTGAAGATAACATTGCAGTCAGCAAGATGGGACGTCCCTTCCGCACAAACCCAATGGTGTTTCCATGCCACTGTTTGACTTCTGCCATTTGCTCACCGGGTGGCATCTCATGCACATTTCTATGTGTGACTCATGTTGGTATTACTGTTATTGCTGCTTAATCATCTGTACTGGATCACAAGCACACTACAGTGAATTCAGACAGTTCTCCTACTTTATGTTAAAGAATTCTCAACTGATATCACCACTTCAGAAACAGCAATAAGCACACTTGGAACCTTTGTTCCTGTATACCATATGTCACATAAGAATATTGTCAAAAAAAAAAAAAAAAACACGGGAACTCTGGGCGATCACCCTACTCCACACTCAGAGGCCTGTGCAGACTCAAGTGGACTTTGTGACAGCCGCTGCCTCCACACTGTCCTTTCCAGAATGCCATCACCTTCTTCTCGTAACTTGTTCAGCACTGAATTAACTGTTCATTCATTTACTCACTGATGGACATTTTAGTTGTTTTCAAGTTTTGGCAATTATGAGTGAATGCTGTGCAGATGTGTATGGGCAGGGTTCTGTTCAACACCAAAGGAGCGTGAGACTGGGTCCTCTGGTGAGTGTGTATACATTCACTTAACAACAGCAACAATGCCTTCCACCGTGGCTATACCATTTCTCATCCCACCAGCAAGGAGGGAGGATGCCTCTGTACCACACCCTCACCATCCAGATACGGTGGGTCTAGCCCCTGGCTATTGCACTGGATAAGCAGTGTCTGCTGCTCTGACTGTATTTCCCTGATGGTTCCTGGTGTTAACACCTCCAGATGCTCACTTGCATCCTCTCTGGGGAGTTACCTTCACAGACCTTTGGCATAAGCCAGCTGGTTCAGTTTTGACAGCAGTCCTCAGGCAGGTGTGGCTTCAGCAATATATCTTTCCTAGTCTGGTTTTTTTTTTTTTTTTTTTTTTTTTAATCGTCCTCAATTGTATTTTTCGGTCATTTCTTCAGCTGACAGCTCTTGGGTTTTTTTTTAATGTGTTTTAGCTCATTCAGACCAATAAGCTGAAGCACTACCCCAGCATCCATGGAGACTTCAGCAATGACTTCAGACAGCCATGTGTGGTGTTCACTGGGCATCCTTCCCTCCGGTTCGGGGATGTTGTCCACTTCATGGAGCTCTGGGGGAAGTCTAGTCTCAACACTGTCATATTTACAGGTAAATTTTAAGAGTAAACAGGTTCCTATATGTAATCTCAGCACCAGAGAGGCTGAGGCAAGGGGACCTAATTCCAGGGCCGCCTGTCTCCAAAAGTAAAATACACAGGCGTAAAATAGATATGAAGGAATAAGAGTAAAGCATTGTCGGTAACTGTGTGTCAAACACTTTTGTTTCTGTTCCTTTCCATCCTTTTTTCCAATGCTAAAAATCTGCTGAGCTGCTCTCTGATAGGGTTTGTAAGATGTTGAGAGCCTCAATGATTCCAGTAGCTGGACTGGTTTTGCCATTTGGTAGTTGTTTACTTAGCTGGATCTGGGGTCTTTGACTCTGGTCTGCTCTAACTTACTGCCACTCTTCCGGAAACAGACCCCTCAGGAGCATAGCCTTTAGTGAGATGAGGCTATTCAGAGGTGACAGGGATCTCCTTATTTTATCAGCATAAGGCCCTCACACTGCCTTGAAGTTTAGAAATCTTACAAGCTATGAAGTCAGAATCTTGAAAGATTGTTGTACCTTCAGCCATGCCCATCTGTATTAGTCAGGGTGCTCTAGAATAACAGAACTTATAGAATGAATTCATTCATTAATATATATGATGGAATTTATTAAAATGACTTACAGGCTGCAGTCCTGCTAATCCAACAATGGCTGGCTGTGAACAGAAAGTCCAAGAATCTAATCACTTAGTCCACAAGGCTGGACGTCTCAGCTGGTCTTCAGTGTACACTGGGTTCCCAAAGAAGTAGACTCCAATGCCAGTGAGGGAATGGATGTGCTAGCAAAGTGAGGGCAAGCAGGCAAAGAGCAAAGGCTTCCTCCTCTATGTCGTTATTTAGACTCCCAGCAGAGGGTGTGACCTAGATTAAACATATGTCTTCCGGACTAAAAGGTCCAGACTAGAAGTAGAGTCACCCACTTCAAACCAAGCAAAAATAATCTCTCACAGGTGTGCCCTCCATTTCAGGATTGTGGTTCATTTCCAATGGAGTCATGCTGACAGCCACAAATAGCCATCACACTATCCCTAGGCTCATTTTCCTTGCTACACATAGGATCACTGGTACCCTCTGTCTGGGTAGATGCAGGCCTTATGGAGAAGTGTATTAGCACCTCAGAGCAGCGCTGGCACTCAGTGGCTGTCAACAATGTCCTTCACGCTCTTCCTTCTTATAATTTGGTTTGTGGTTAGCAAGATGGCTAGCTGGGTAAAGGATCTGCCGAGCATGACAGTTGGTGGAAGGAGATACGTACACATTGTCCTCTGACCTCCACTCACATGCCATGGCACATGCACACACCAGAAAATAAAAATAGCCTTCTAAAAAATCATTTTTAAAACTTGGGTTTGAGGTTAGAGAGTATAATTACATCAGTAGTTATCTGGGTCAGGGCACATGAGGGCACATGCTCAGCCTCAGTTTGTAAGAACTGTTGGCAGCCCCAGACTGGGACCACCAAGAATTTGGCTGCAGTAGAGTAACTGGATTCCATACAACCATTACAGTAAGGTACACACACCAGGATGGAAGAAGCATGGGGGAAAACTTCTTAAGAGATACCAGCAGGGACAGAGTGACAGACTGATTCACAGATGTTGGGCTCATTAGTCATCTCTGTGTCCTGTGTAGAAGGCAAGAATATAGGCAGCTAGGGTGAGGGTTGCTCATGTTGGGTTTGGTGCGGTGTTATGTTCTGTGTTTGTGCTAGATATTTGAAGGTTTTCATGGATCCTGTGTGGTCCCTGAAAAGCCTTGTCTCACATTGATGTTCTGTGAAGTGTACGTCTAACAGCAAGACATGGTGGCTCGGCTGTACCGGGAGCACTCATGACCCTCAAGGACTGCTTTGCTGTCCTCAGACCACCTTTAGAACAAAATCAGAGGCTGTTGATCCACAAATCCTAAAACCTGCCTATCACCAGGATTTTGCTGAGATTGTTAAAGCACTGTAGTGAGGCAGTGGCTGTCTCTTCTGCTCTCTAATGAACCGTGGCTGATGTGACAGTAGTTACGGGGTTCCATGGGCATAGTGAGAGAGGCCAGCTGAGAAAACAAAGGCTGTGAGATGCCCAATTGCACTGGGCAGCGTGCTGACATTTGTGCTGGCTTGTTGGGCTTCAGGGGCAGGTGTGTCATTTCTGATTCCCACTCAGGTTTGGGAATGTTTCATTGACCTTTCCCACGTGTCATGCCTACTGTATAGTATCCCCTTGCTGGGTGGCCATGTTACCAGAGGTCTTAGAATGAAAGCCTGGGCTCTGGCAACCCTAAAAGCTAGGCTCAACCACCCATCCCTATTATGCCAATTAAAGAGACAAAATATGTGAAAGCAGAGAACAATTTATTCAATGTGGCCATATTATGAAGAACCAGTAAAAGGATCATTAGCACCCATAGATCCATCTTTGAGGTAGCAACATAAGATTAAAGTTTAAATAGAAATGCAGCAGTATGCCTAGTTAGCAGTCCTGGTCAACATGTGGTTCTGCCCATTGCTGACCCATCACAGCTATCTGCAAAGTGGTCTTATATGTTGTTGGACTGTGAACTCTTCCCGGGAGCTGGGATCCTCCTCTGGCTGGTATTAGTATTTCAGCCCTTTCCTGCCCTCAGCACAGGAGTCATGGAGAAGTTTTCATTCTTTGAGTTCTGTTGCTTCAGAGGTTAGATAAGCTGAGGAGGGACTCCGTGTCTTAACAACCTGTACTTGGCCCCTTGGGTATTGTGGGCTGAGCACAATATACTGTTCTCTTGGCTCTGGTGGGCGAATGACAATCTCGGCAGGAGCCTGTTGACAGGGTCTCCTGTTTGCAGTCTGTGTTGCAGTCTGTGGGGTGAGTAACATCAGGTTGTGCTGCCCGCTTTATCTCCCACCCGGGTGTTCACTTTGAGCAGCCGGTGGGTATTCCTGTGACTTTACCAGGTCTTGTTGCAGTAAACTGTCTTACAGGGGACACAAGCTTTGGATCTAGAGCTTTAGTGCTGATTCACATGAATTAACCATCACTGTGATGCTTACCTCATGGTACCTTTTATATATACACCTTTACTCTTGTTCTTTTAGGACAGGGTCTCACTACTATGCAGCCCATGCTGCCTTAAACTAGCAGTCCCCCTGCCTCAGTCTCCAGAGTGCTGAAGTTGCCGTGTACACTACACACATGGTTCCTTTTTCTTTCCATGTGTGAGCTGGCACTTTCTTTAGAGAAAAGTTCATTTCTTTATCGTATTGCTCTCAGGTCTCACTGTCGTCTCTGTTTAGTAAGCCTTAGAGCCACACCCATGCTCTTGGATTCAAGTATCATCACAGGAGTCCACCCAGCCTCTCCTCTTCCTCCCGTGGCCCATATTCTGTGTCCCTGCTCATTCGGGAATTCCCCCACAAGACCGTCTGTGTGTTAAAGTCTCCTGTTTATACTTTCCCAGAGCCTGATTTCTCCTACCTGGAGGCCCTGGCTCCTTACCAACCACTGGCCATGAAGTGCATCTACTGCCCGATTGACACGCGACTAAATTTTATCCAGGTGTCAAAGCTGCTTAAAGAAGTGCAGGTATGTTTCCTCAGTGGGCCAGGGTCTGGATGTGGCTCTCTGTGAATCAGGTCTGCACAGCCACGATGTGAATGCTGCCAGTTGCCCTTCAAACTTCTGGAAATGATCTTAATTCTCTGAAAGGTTCCCCTCCAAAAAAAAAAAAAAAAAAATGGAAAGGGAGGGAAAGAAGGCATAAACAGGTCTATTTGATGAGGATAACTTCTGGCCACCCCCCTCCTCCAAGTCAGTCACTCAGCTAAATCCTGAGTTGAGTTCCGTGGTAGGTTGATGGTTAGTCCTTTTTGCAGAAAAGGGAAGTAGTTGTAGTGAAGGGGAAATTTCTGCTTGTGGTAGGAGATGAGCCAAGGCATTGAGATAGCAAGTGGGGGGAGGCAATTAGACTTGGCAAGGAAGACAGCTTGGACTCTGTGAGAGGAAGGGTTCTGATGCCTTGACCATGGTCTCCAGAGCTTGAGTGCCTGCTGAGGGACCTGCGCCTTCACCCGGTCATTCTCGGTAGAGTTGCTTCCTCCATCTCCTAGCTTAGCTCTTTCATCATCTTCACAGACTGTGCCATCAGGAGGAGGTGCTCATATACAAAAGGAGATTGGGCAGGGTGACAAGAGACAGGAAGCTCAAGAACCCCCAGGGAGGCAAGCAAGATTTATGCCAGTGCCCTAGCCTGTCACCTTGGGTGGACACAGAGTGCCCTGTGTGCTCATCAGCATGCAGAGGAAATGTCTAGGGACATCGTGCAACTTAAGTCCAGGTCCCTAAGCCACTTTCATACATACCACTGTGTCACATGCTGATATTAGAAATCAGAGGCTATCTTGTCCCCAGCTCCAGTGATTAACACTCTGGAGGAGACTGAGGCAGGGGACACAGAGCTGTCAGATGCTAGCCAGGTTAGGAACAACACAGGGCCCTAGCTCTAAAGACCAAGCCAGGCCCAGCCGCTGGAAACCTTTGTTCTTGAAATAATTTGAGCCTTAATCCAAACTCTTAAATCAGAGCAGGGACAGCATTAGCATCCAGCTGAGTGATGTTTATACAAATAGTTTCATCTCCAGTTCACCGTCATCCTTAGATAGGCAGGCATATGTGGCCTGCCAGTTTCCACGGACCTGGGGATAGCCTAAGATATGCCAAACCCAGAACACTGGTCAAGGAATTGTAGTAGCTGATGGGACAAGTGTCACAGGAACTGAGCTTAGCATAGGGAGTAGACACACTGCTTGTCACCACCAAAGTCACTTAGAGGTAGCAGATCCTTCCTCCACCTCCTGGGTTCTCACACAGTACCCATCTCCCATCAGGAGTGCAGGCTTGAGCGAATGCACTCCAGTGGCCTGGTGGAGTGGCTTGAGTGTTCAGGATGATACAACAAGGGTCAGCAAGAGGTGGGTGCTGCACTGCACCCAGCTCCTACCCTTTCCTGTGACTTCCTTGTCCCGTTGCTCCTCAGCCCCTGCACGTGGTCTGTCCTGAGCAGTATACCCAGCCACCCCCGGCCCAGGCCCACAGGATGGACCTCATGATCGACTGCCAGCCACCAGCCATGTCCTATCGGCGGGCTGAGGTCCTCGCCCTGCCCTTCAAACGACGCTATGAGAAAATTGAAATCATGCCAGAGGTGAGCTGCTGTCCTTTCGCCCTTAAACTCGAGTTTCCGCCAGAGCGCCCTCTGGGACAGGGCCAGTCTGTCAGAAATGAAGCAAAGAACACAGACCCTCAGGCACGTGACCGCTCCTTCCCTTAGCCTTCAGTGGTGTGGCCCTGCAGGCAGCACCTGGGTCTCCAGCATGGAGGATGCTAGTGCCCTCTAAGGGTTTCCCATCCTTCCTGGAACTCATGTCTGAGAAAGGAGAAATGTAAACTTATTTGTGTCTACTTCAGCATCATTTAAGGGTTCTATCTGGACAGGAATGCCTTACATTCTAGTCAGGGCTGTCTTGGGTTTTATCACACAGAAATGGAAAAGGTACAGTTGGGTGGTGCTGTGCTTAGTGACGGCTAGGGACGACGGCAAGGAAGAGGAGGGGCCTCCAGCACTTGGGTTTCTCAGTGCCTCTGCGGAGACCTTTGAATATCTTTGGCATAAGTGGCTTTCCCTGGGGGAAAGTTCCAGAAAACAGTTTAACTGGCCAGGCAGTAAAGTGGTTCTCCGACTTTCTCTCTGAGAATTGCCAGTGCTCTGCTCCCCCTCCCCTGCAGCTCCTCCGCCTCTGTCCTTTCAGCTTCTAAGCGTGCTTTCTCCAGGTTCAGATTCATGTGGGGGTCAAGGTTGTCATGGCAACAGTCACAAGTGTCATTTAACCACAGGAAGACGAAAGGGTTAAGATCCACTGCAGTTAAAGGACCCCAAACAGCAGCACCTCTGCAGCCTCTTTGATGTAGTCTTCCAGAAAGGGAAGATCTCACACTGAGCTTGGGCCTGTTACAGGACCCCTCTTATGGGGGTGGGGCATGCTGCCCTCCTGAAGTGCTGACCCAGGGTTTGGGGCTCTAGGCTGACTCCCATGGAAGCAGGGGTGCAGCTGATCACTTGTCCTCTTGGAGAAGCCCCACCTTACAACTGCTCAGGGCTCTCTTACCAACTTGGTCCCTATGATGCCAGCCTGACCTGTGCAGGGAACAGGCATTTGTGGGGCAGAGTGTGTTTGTGAACAGGGCAGGGGTGAAGGATGGGACCCGACAGTCAGGTGTTTGGTAACTGCACCACAGTGTGGCACAGCTCACACTCCATTCCTGCTTCCTTTTCGTAGGAAAGCCCTCACATCTTGTGTGTTGATGTTTAAATGGTCATAGGGGAGCAGGGCATTAAGGCGTATGCACCCAGCAGATGTTGCCATCTGTAGGACAGTCCATAGATGTAGGTCCAGCACATAGGGACAGGAAGCTGCCCTCTTCGTCCCTGCTGCATTGCCCCCGGAGCCACCGTGCGTTCTCACTCCCTCTTCTAGCCACTTGTCCACTCCCACCTCCACCCTTTCCCCGCTGTGATTGGCAGGAGACTTGTGGGAGTGTGTACCTCATGTCATGCCATGAGTTATCTGGTCATTTTAGATTATAACAGTGTGAGTAAAATCTAAGACAAATATAATGGTCACCCTTGGAGACCTTTCCCACCAGGACAGAAGAATGCTGAGCTCCAGTAGGCCCTAGGCCACTATCCACCCTGGAATTCTCCCCTCCCCCTCAGAGGGAGCCCATCTGAAACCCTGCATTTGCTTTCAGCTGGCAGACTCCCTGGTGCCCATGGAGATCAAGCCTGGCATCTCCCTGGCAACTGTCTCGGCTGTGCTGCACACAAAGGATAACAAACATGTGCTTCAGGTACTGGGGGCTTCTGGGAACCCAGTCTCCCTTCCCTCGGGAAAGCTCTGGCCACATGCCCCAAACCACATGAGCCGTCCTAAGGAGTGTCCTGTTGCCCCACTCTGGAGTAGCACCATTACCCCATGGGCACATTTCTTGTTGAGCCCCACACGTGAGCACTGCAGGGTGGGACTTGAAAGCTATAGACAACACACGCATAGCACAGCCCAGAAGGCCCGAAGCCTGACAAATGGGTGGGCAGCACTCACCTCTGAAGAATTCCCTTCCGCGCATGCACCGTGTTGCCTGTGTGCCCCTGAAGCTAGCACTGGAGTACTGGGCACTGTGCTGGTTGCTGCCATGCATTCTCCTGGCTAATCCTCACAGAGCCTTGAGGTCCAGGACTGCCTGACCTCATTGTCTCATGTTTTCCACAGCTGTCTGGTGGCACAGCCAGCTTTTACCTGTTAGACACCAGAGTCTGTTCTTAGTCACAATGCCAGTGTGCATTAGGAGGGACTTCAGCATGTAGTGGAATCCCTGGAAATGTAAACATGGAACCCAAGTGATGTTGAGCCTGGCTTTTCATGCCATGGGTAACTTAGGACCAGCTAGGTCATGGCCTCAAATGAGTGAAGATGCTGTCACTGAAAGCGCCTTTAACCCTGTCCTAGCCCCCTCCCAGGCCCGCCCAGCCTGCCAGCAGTAAGAAGAGGAAACGGGTGAGTGAGGACGTTCCTGACTGCAAGGTGCTGAAGCCTCTGCTGAGCGGCTCCATCCCAGTAGAACAGTTTGTGCAGACCCTGGAAAAGGTGAGCTTGGGGGCCTGATCTGCTCCTAGGACAGATATGAGGCTCAGGAAGACCACTGCCATCCAGTGGTTCAGACTGTGATGGAGACAGTTAAGTCCTGTCTCAGTGGCCATCTATCCCCTGGGCCCGTATGGGTGTATATATGCCTGGTGCCCAAGGAGGCCAGTAGAGGAGTTTGGATCCCCTGATACGACAGTTATGAGCTGCCATTGGGTGCTCGGAATTGAACCAGGGCCCAGGTTCTCAGGAAGAACAGCCAGTGCTCTTAATCATGAAGCCATCTCTCTAGCTCAAAGGGGGAGATTTCTTGACTGCATTGGTGCTGGGGTGGGTCAGGTAGGGTAGGGGCACACTACCTTAAAGATTTTTATGATGGTCACTTTCCACATTATCACCCTTGCTAGGAAGAGGGGGATGGGCTGAAGATGACAGGGAACATGCTTCTAGAGAACGGACATGATGGCAGGGAGGGACATTTTGCTACCACGCTATTAATAACCACACTGTCTCAGCTGCCAACTTCTTTCAAGTCTCAGAACCACAGCTTCCTGTCTCAGCAGGGTTGGTCTTCATCTTTTGATTTTCCCACACTGCTCTCTAGATCTTTCCACAGTCCTGCAGATGAGCAAAGGACCCCCATCTCCCTCATGGCCTGACAGGGCTCCTTTTTCCTACCTATGAGTTTTCAAACTACTCCTTAAAATAACTTGCTTTTTCCACAATGACCTTACCCTTTTCTCCTGCCTGGCTCATCCAGGAGCAAGCCCCTTTGATTGCATGGGCCCTGCATACCTCACCTCCTTCCCAAAGCTGAGTGGGTGTAGTCTGCAACCAAAGACAGGCAGCCCCTGCATTGGGCTCTTTACCTGTTTTATGTCCCATCCAGGCAACTCTTTGTACTTTAGCTGCAGTTCTGGTTTCTAAGGAGATGCTACACTTAGCAGTAAAGGTGGCTGGAAAGATGCTGCCAGATGTCCAGGTTAGCAGTACCTTGCTATGAGAAGTGGGGATTTCCTAGGGCTCAGAACAGTGTAGACTGGATGTGAGCAAATGTCAAGGTCAACAACCTGGTGTTTTCCCCCCGAATCTCAGAGTCTGGATGTGTTCAAGTTCCTTGTACACTCCCCTAAACAGGGTGAAGCCATTCAGCGGTTTTCCTGGCATTTTTGTGAGATTGGGGCCTTGTATAAATATGAAAGAGCTGTATTGAGAGTAATGCCAGTCTCCAGTGCTCAGTCAGGCCTTGCTTTCAATGTAGCCATCTCCTCTTTCTCTTGAACAGCATGGCTTCAGTGACATTAAGGTGGAAGACACAGCCAAGGGCCATATTGTCCTGCTGCAGGAAGCTGAAACACTCATCCAGATTGAAGAAGACTCAACTCACATCATCTGTGACAATGACGAGACTCTGAGGGTACGATTATGGACCTGGTCCTCAGGTTCCTGCAGAAGTTCTGAGTGGGGCATCAGTGAACTCCTAGACCCCTCACCTCGGACAGTCTGGTGGCGCCCTCTGGCTGCCAGAGAGGAGTGCTGTCTCTGGCCAGGACACCAAGAACTTTTTCCATTCTGAGCTCTTGAGTAGCTTGGGGGTGACAGCATGACAGGAGTCCTTTCCTAAGGGAAGTGTAAATATGACTGGCCTGTGTTTTCAGGATCCAAAGGGGGCAACTCTTGAACTTACTTACCTGCCTATAGTGCTATACCTAAGAAAGGACAGTCCCCCAAATCAGAAAGTGAACCTATCTAGCTCTATTCTGTGGCCCATTTTGCTAAAATAAATATTATTTTTATAGAAGTACCCTGGTTCTATTGAACTACAGTCTAAATGATTTAACATCTGGGGGGGGGGAGGAATCTGAAACTTCACCCAACAGTAAAAATGCCACAGCACATCTGTCTCACCTCTGCCCTAATCATAACCCAGCCCCGTTTACAAAAATGCAGATAAGATTCCAGTGCTGGAGAGTGCAAAGTCACCCTCTGATACACAGCAAGTTCAAGGCCAGCTTAGCACATTAGAACCTATCTCAAGCAGCAACACGCCAGGAGCATCAGATCATTTACCCTTTCCCAGCACCAGGAATCACAGATATCCAACAACACAGCACATAAACAGGAACTGATTTTTTGTTGTTGTTGTTGTTGTTTTAGGAATGTATCACAAAACTTAGTGGGTCATATGATCTCTCTAAATTGCAGACTGTTCCACATGCCCTTAGTCCCAGCACTCAGATCCACCTGCCTCCTGAGTCTGATCTACAGAGTGAGTTCCAGGACAGTCGGGGCTACATAGAGAAATGCTATCTCAAAAAGAGGCAGCAGCAGCAATGAATTGGGATAGATTTCATCCCTTGACACTAGTAACCACAGTACTAATCCCTAACTGTGCTGTCTTCCTGATACACAATTGTGAATCCACCACAATAAACAGCACAATAAACAGCAACCTAATCTTTCTAATACATATTACTGCCTAAAATGCTGCTAGCCAAGGGTAGCTCAAGCCTGCAACCCCAATACTCAGGAGGCTGAGGCAAAAAAGTATTGCTCAAGTTCAAGGCCAACCTGAGTACCTAGTGCCTTTCCAGGCTCACCTGTAATACAAGCTGTGACCATCTCTCAAAAACAATAATTTAAAATTTCCTGGTTCTAATTGCACTTTTATACTTTGAAAACAATGACCCTCCCAATCTGTAAGCCCATCCCTCCCTCCAGTCACCAATGTGCCCTGGTCAGGCTCCTGCTGCTGGATTTTGTGTGCTGCACTTTCTCTAACTTCAGCTGAGCAGAGACAGTTTCCCCTGAACTCCAGGGCAAAGAGGAGCACATTCCCAAGACCTCCAGTGAGCTTCTGAAGGCGTGATGGATGTTAAGATCAAGACTAAAGACTTGCCAAGTCTAAGGAATGTTAGGGAAGCTCATCATGGAAGGAGGAAACCAGTTCCTGAAAGCTGACCTCTGACCTCCACGTGTGCATGTGACAGGTGTCCTCCCACTTTAACACGTGTAACTTCCTTAAAGAACTATAGGCCCAACCTGCTTTGTGTTTTTGTTTGTTTTTGGGACAGGGTTTCTCTGTGTAGCCCTGGCTGTCCTGGAACTCACTCTGTAGACCAGGCTGGCTTCGAACTCAGAGTTCCACCTGTGCTGGGCCTCCTGCTGGCCAGTTTTGTAAATATCACTATTATACTTGCTGTCAATTCACCTTTGCTCTAAAATGACTTCCTGATTCAGTGGAGGCTTTATTGATAAGGTGGAAAAAGTTAATCAGTTGCCTGCAAACAAAAACTAGCCACAAACAAAAAACAGTTTGCAATTTAGAGAGATCATATGACCCACCAAGTTTTGTGATACATTCCTAAAACAACAACAAAAAAAAAAAAAAAAAAAAATCAGTTCCTGTTTATGTGCTGTGTTGTTGGATATCTGTGATTCCTGGTGCTGGGAAAGGATAAATGATCTGATGCTCCTAATGGCTCCCACCAGGCACAACTTCATGTTTAGACTCCAGACAAACATGTATGTAAGAACTAGAGTAGAGGTGTGAGATAGAACATTAGATAGGTAGATAGAATAATAGCCACACACACTCAAAAACCAGAGAATTTGGGGGAGTAAGGGAAGGGCAGCTCAGCCGGATAAGACACTCAACTGAAAGGGAAGAAATGACACGTTTCCTACATACTGCCTACAGGATGAAAATAATTGGCCTTGGGGAGGACGCACCATGTGAAAAGCAGTGTACCAGCTAAATAGACTAGAGGGTGATGTTGCCAGAGATGTTCATCAGAGAGATGATCACAGCTATATATCAACAGTGCTGAGGGGCAGGCCACAGAGCTGGAAAGTGGATGACACTAATATTAAAGCAACCAAAACAGTGCACTTATATGCATGAGCTAACAGAACTCAATAGCCTTCACCCAGGTTGCACCCCTTGGGCACAGAAGGTGCTGCATGCAGCTGCTGCACTCCAGCTGCAGGCCACAGACATCCACGAGAATGTGTGGTATTTTTATCATGGAGACCATGTGCCAGGCAACAGAACAAGTCTTAACTGTATTTAAAATCATCCAGGCAACATTCACCGGAGTAGAATTAAATTCAAATTTTACAAACCTGCAAATATTCAGAAATTAAGCATGCTAATAAAAGAAGTATGAGGCAAAAAGTTCATTGCCCGGGGGGGGGGGGGGGGGTTGTCTGAACTGAAGCTGGGAAGGTAGTTTAGTATGTAAAGTACTTGATAAGCAAACATGAGGACATAGGAAAATCTGGGTATGTCTGCATGTGCTTGTAATCCCAGCATCAAGGGAGGTGGAAACAAGTGGGTTCCTAGGCTAACTGGCTAGAGAACCCAGACTAATTGAGCCCCAAGACCCAGTGAGAGACCCTGACTGAAGAAACAAGCTCAGAAGGAACAATACTTAAGTGTGGTCTCCGGGTCTGTGTGTGTATGCACACACACACATAGAAGTACTTGGGTAATAACAAGAGGCAAGGGCAGGCTGGGATAAATGCATTGAGGCTCCCACCTCAAAAAAAAAAAAAAAAAAAAAAAAAAAAAAAAAAAAAAAAAGGAATTGTACTTAAAAGTGACTTTGAGACAGACCTTAAGCCTTTAATCCCAACATTTGGGAGGCAATGGCAGGTGGATCCCTGAGTTTGAGGCCAGCCAGGACTACAGAGTGAAACCTTGTTTTTAAAGGGGGAGACTGCTAGAAGGCAGATGTGTTGCATGGCTAGCTAAGACTGCTCCTAGAACTAGAAATTCCTAGTGCCATTTGTTTGGTACAGAGGCCCCTAAGATAAATAACACAAGCTCTTGACATCCAGCAGAGCTATCTGGTAAAACCCATACACTTTGGTTGCAAGAGCTAGAGAAATCAAGCCACACCTGGACTAGAACTTGCCCTCTGCCAGCTAGCTTTCATACTACTGGAAAATGTTTTGTGGGCTAAGGGAGAAAAGCACCAAGATCTCAGCTGGCTATCTATAAACCAAGACTAACCTGCCAAGTAAACTGCCCACTTAGGCGACAGTGACAGTGACTGCTATGGGGGCAACCAGCTACTCTCTGGTGGATTTAATTCCTCCTCCGTGGGAGAAAACCTATGCCTGGTACTGTAACACTGGTCAAAAACATGGCTGGAGAGGCCATAGGCCCTTGGGGTAACTTTACTATTGTTTAGTTAGATTGACATAACATCAAACCGCCTTCTAAAGAGCTACACTTGGATCCATAGGCAAGTGCTACTATCAGCCCTAATCAGAAGCCTCTCCCTGTGATTTGTGGCAAGCACATGGGCACATGGCTAATCATGGTGCCTGAGTAAGTGACAGAGGGCTCAGCTTCCAACAAGACATTTATACTACTCACTCTTAGGCTCAGGGAACAAGGCAGAAGCAGGGCAGAAAGAATCTAAGAGCCGGAAGATAGGGAGAAAGGCTGTAAAATGCCATCCTCTGAGCATGCCATAGCTGTTGTTACCATGAATTCAGCAGCTACTTACCTGCACTGGCTTACACAATCAACAGTGGCTACTCTGAGATTCTAGAAGGAAAGTCACTGTATTCAATTGTGTGCCCACTGGTGAGCCCACCAAAGTCTAGTGGATAGTGCTTGCCCTGGTTAAACTCAGCTGGGTCACAAAACAAAACAACGTATATGGTGGAAAGGGGGATTACATAGGGGAGGAAGGGGATTGACAGGAGTGAGACAGAAATGAGAGGGAGGCAAATAAGTAATCAGATGAATTATACACGTGTGTCAAAGAACATTAATAAGAACGGCAGCGTGTAAAGTTTAGAAGAAGCTGCCCATCAGCAGTCACCAGGAAATGCGGCCTGAACTCCAAGCCAAGACTAGCAGTGCCACAGGCTCCGGGCATGTGGAACTGAAGATGCCTCAGCATCACTGCAAGTACAAAATGCACCGATGCTTCAGTAAGAGTCTCCCAGATCCTCAGAAAACTGTACAGATGTGCATCACCCAACAGCAACCCTGCTCACAGGTACTCACTGCAGGCACGAAGGTGGGGCCAACAAAGGACCTGCTCCTCAGTGTCCACGGCAGCGTAATTCCGAATAGCTGAACTCAGGAAACGGCCCAAGTGCCCAAGATGCCTCCAGCTCCAGGCAGCCCTCCTGCCTGAACTACAGGCCTGCACCATCACCCCTGGCTCGCTCATCACTGAAATGCACAAATGGCAAGACAGCTATCCCGTTCCCATCCTTCCTGCTGCCTCCCCCAGCAGAGGGTCTGAAATCCACCCCACAAATGTCCCCAAGGCAATCCAGCTCCCTGTGCCCACCCCCTCCCCAAAACTTGCCAGGCCATGGGTTGAGCCTGTCACACTCTTTCATCCGGAGCCCACTAATGGCTTCCTCCAGTGCTGTGCTCCAGGGGTCCTCCTCCAGTGGATGATGTAGAACACACAGGAGGCCACAGCCAGCCAGTAGGGCTGCACTGCCAGGAGACAGGTGACAGCCACTTCTCAGCACACAACCTAAGAGCAGCTGCAGTAGATGAGCAAGGCCTAGACATCTGAAACACATGTAGAGCCAAGCAGTTTGCCTTATTTAGGTCAATGCCGTTGGTTCATGTGAGCCAAAGGGACTGTCCATCTTATGAAGGCCCACGCCTGGCAGTCTTCGCCCTTTTGTGATTACAACTTAAGCAGATGGCCTTGATCCCACCAGTGCTATGGGCAACCCAGTGTCTGAGCACACACATACTCCAGATCAGAGCCAGTGCCTCTACCTCACCATCTATAACCAGTAACCCATGACAGTGCCATTGACAGCCACTGGCAACACTGGATTCCACAGGTGGGTCTGAGGCAGAACTAACCAGAATTCTAAATAGGCATTCTCTATGTTTGCAGAGATTTGGGGGGGGGGGGCAGGAAGTAAATAACTGCGGCATGAGCCCTGCATCTGTGCTCACTGCTGGCCCCACCAGAGGGACATTTTTAAGGTCTTACCAATCTTCGATGTCTGGGCCCTGGGCTCCTACCTGCAGAGCCAGAAGACCTGCCACTCCAGGCCCTTCCAGGGTTTCATCTTCCACAGCCCGGGACAGCACTTGCTTTCAAACCAGGTAGAAGGTCTCAGGTGCAAACACCAAAAGTCTGGGTCTGATGTGGCAGTGACACCCAGAGGCCCCTTGTTAGGTCAGCACAGGACACCACAACACATTTTTAAAAGCCAATGGGAGGAGCCAGAGATGGTTCAGTGGTTAAAAGACCTGTTGCTCTTGCCAAGGACTAGACTCCATTAGCACACAGGTGGCTGACAGCTGTCCCTAATTCCAGCTACAGGAGACCTGATACTAGACACATGTGCTTATATATACACCCACAAAGACATGCACACAATAAAGATAAATCTTTTTTAAAATTCCCACAGTAAAAAAGGTTAGCTGGTGTGTCAAATGGAACACTAGCTAGCAGCCTGAGCTCCCTTATTGCTCCCTGGCTGAAGTCAGTGCTCTTCTGGCCAAGCAGAGGTCACATTGTTCAGGCAGGCACCCCGGCTGAGAATAACCAAACACCTCCAAACAGCTTGAGTTAAAGTCTCCATTTATTTCAGTTTTTACAAAAATCCAACATAAGACCTTTGTGCTCATGGTTTGAAAAGGGCAGACAGATGGACAAATTATGTTATCAGGGCCGCCCCAGGCAGCTCCACCCTCCAGCTCCATGTTTGCTAACAAGGCCACCCCAGATAGGAGCATTGTAGGTGGTCCACTGGCCTGAGGCACCCTGGGGACTGTCACTCTGTGGGTGGCCCTTGCCCTCAAGAAAAAGAGCAACTGAAAAACAAAGCTGTCCTGGCCCTGGAAGGTGAGACTGGGTAGCCAGGTGTGACCTGTGTTAGGAGTCTGCTGTGGGAGGTGACCCATAGTGACCTGCTTCTAACACCAGGCAGGCTCTCCACACTCGTGTCAGGGACATCATTTCCAAGCATGTCCCCTAGCTCCCCAACCCAGAAGACAAGCAATGTCTAACTGCTTTGTCTCTGCCTCTTGCCTCAGAGTCCCTCAGATACACAGTCACTGTCCACACTTGCTACTGGGGTCCTTCAGTTAGTGTTCCCACCAGGCCCAGGGATGCTACCCCATAGGATGCTCTGACGTCACCATCCCTGAAACAGTCTGATGATACCCATGAGTACCAACAGTTTTCAGTGCCCTACAAAGAGACTGACTTTCTCATCAGGTGCCATAGTGTCATTTTACAAGTTCTCACATTAAAAGAAACAAGGCGAATAGGGATGGGGCTCATGGCAGAGCGATTGTCGGGATGCCCACCCACAACTCTGGCTTCCATCCCCAATACTGGGAAGTTTAAAAAAAAAAAAAAAAAAAAAAAAAAGATACAATAAAATAGCAGCCACATATTTAGAAAAAAACACCACACTCTTTGGCTCCCCTGAGGGAAGAGGGCTACTGCTACAAGGAATAGTAAGAGGACAAAAGTTGGGGTAAGGAGTCTGGACCCCTTTGCTGAGTTGCCAAGAACTAAATGTCCCAGGCAGCCAGCCCTTGGTGTCAGGTTCAAGAACACACCAGGGGAGTTCTGTAGCAGCCCGATCCTGCTGGCCAGAGGGGCTCCCGGAGGAGGGGCTCGCTCCCAGAGGCCCTGCCAACCCTACAGCAGAAGGGATCTCCAGAGAAGAGAAGTCAGGGCAGCAGGCAGGAGGACCCCAAGCAGCAGCACTCATGTCAGGGCCTAGGAAGACAGGACCGGCTTAAGGCAAGTGCATGACCAGGACAGACCTGAGCTCAGGTTCAGCTGTTTGAAACCCTCAGTTCCATTTCAATCAGGTGGGGGCTGAGGCAACAAGTCACAGGCAGCACCCCACACAACACAGCGCTTCTAGCTTCCTGCTGCCACCATACCCAAAATTAGCCCTGGGAACAGACCATAACAGGGAGTGGAGAGCAGTAATGTGGGGATGAATGCCTGTTAATTTCCAAGACCAGACTAGAACTCTTCTAACAAATCCCAGCCTCCAAGTTCGAGGACGTCCCACACCTTGAAAGCAGGGGCTTCCTGCAGCTAACACAGCATCAGGGGTCTAAACCCCACAGGTACAAGATGGAGTCCAGACACAAGTGGGAAGGCGAACTCACCTAGGTGTCCATTCCAAGTCATGTGCCTTGCTGTGAGACTCTGGGATCCTCAAAGGACATAGACTAGTTCTACCCCACAAGCTCCCTGCCTCCCTGCCAGCCTGCCAATTTCCCGCTGTGTCCTCTAGAGAAACAAGTACTACAGGAACCTGCCACCAGCGCCCTGCACCAGTGCCACCAAAAGGGTGAGCTGAAGGCCATTGGGCAGTACAGGCCTCATCCCTGCCTCCCTGTTTGCTTCCCTATTCTCTCTCAAACACAAGATGCGATGGGAAAGCAGCAATAAGCCCAATGACAAGTGCTGCCTGGCACCAGCCCTCAGAGCCCTGGAGCATGGAGGTCCCCACTGCACAGCCTACAGCAGGAGAGGAAGCTGTGTTAGCATCACTGAAGCAACAGAAAGGGGTCACAATAGATCAGGAGATCTTGCCTAGGCCAAGTCCATCCTGTAGCCAGTGCCACTGGGAAGGTAGGGCTGCAAATGACAATCCAGTAACACAGGGTCAGGACCCTCTCTACTAAATACACAGCCAGGTAGGTCCCTCCCTTGGAGAGATTGGCAGAAATTTCAGGTGCACCCCCACCCCACCAAATATATATATATATATATATATATGTATATGTGAGTGTGCATATATACGTATATACACGTATGTGTGTACATATACACACACATATAAATAAGCCTTGAATGGCAGATGTGAACACTCTCTCTTTAAATAATAATAGTTGTTATTGAATTTAAAAACCACGATCCAGCCGTCCTGGGCTTATGAACGAGTGTCTCCCCAGAGTCCCCACAGTCCTCCGTGTTCACTTTAAGTCAGTGCCCTGTGCAGAAGCCCTGAGTCTGTTGACCAGGATTCTGGGCCCAGTGAGGCTGACTTCACTCTTCTTGCTGCCTCCCCCAGCAAAGGGCCTGGGCCCTGTCCCACTGATGTCCCCAAGGTCCTTCAACACTTGGGAACCTTGGGAGCGACTACCCTCACTCTGCTCATCGTCTCCTCAGAACTGGCAAGGCCCTAAATGAACTTGAAGCACTTGGTCTTGTCGTGGGGCAGGCGGGTCTTGAAGAGCACAGAGTCCACTCTGAACTGTGTGTACAAGAGGGGCATATAGCCGTACACCTTGACAAAGAAGTTGATACACTTGTGCCGCTCGTGGAAGTGAGAGTCATCATGGGACAGGGCCTGAGGGCACCCTGGGCACCGGAAAGTCCACCTCGATGTCACCTGGGGACAGGAGAGAGAAGGTGAGAAGTAGCATGACCGCTCACAGAACCTTATAGTGTGGCCAGCAAAGGCCACGTGCAGTGAAGCTACTGAGCCAATGGCTACATCCACACAGCCCAGCATGGATGTATCCAAACCACAGGGGGCTTTCCATGTCACCATATTTAACAGACAGCCAAGCCTTGGTATGCCCAGTGTTACTGGTCCAAACAAGTCTACCTGCAGTGTTTATCTGGGTGGTAGAGCAAGGTGTTGGTACACAGTTATCTGTTTCATCCATGTTTTTCATAGCAAAATATTGGGAAACTAGCCAAAACAGAAACAAACAATTCTAAAATAGTACACAGCAATTAAAAGGATATTTAAGAAAATTGTATTTTAAAACATGAGAAAAGGGTTAAGACTTCCAATAATTAGAAAAATTTAAGTAACATGGTGTCACAAAACACATGTCTAACCATTGACATAGGCACTTAGTGGTTTGAACAGGGATGGCCCCATGGAGTCACGTGTTTGAATGCTTGGCCTGTAGAAAGTAGCACTATTAGAAGTGTGGTCTTGTTGGAGTAGGTGTGGCCTTGTTAGAAGAGCTGTGTCACTGTCGGAGCAGGCTTTGAGGTCTCGCATATGCTCAAGCTATGCCCAGTGGTAGGCAGTTCACTTCCTGTTGCTCTGTATTACTCTCAGCACCATGTCTGCCTGGATGCTGCCATCATGTCTTGCTGTGACAATAATGGACTAAACTTCTGGAACTGTAAGCCAGCCTTAATTAAATGTTTTCCTTTATAAGAGCTGCCGTTGGCTGGGTGGTGGTGGCACATACCTTTAATCCCAGCACTCAGGAGATAGAGACAGGTGGATCTCTGTGAGTTCAAGGTCAGCCTGGTCTACAGAGCTAGTTCTAGGACAGCCAAGGCAACAGAAAAACCCTGTCTTTGGGTGGTGGGAGCAGGAAGCCTCTTTACAGCAATAGAAAGCTTAACTAGGAAAGCAACCCTTCACAAAGTTCTGCTAGAGACCTGAGCCTGGGACCCAGGAGATGAGACCTGGGTGGAGGAGACTGCTGGCAGAGATGGTGGACAAAGATTTTTCTTCTCAAGCTCAGCTCTAGTCAGAAGGAGAACGGCACACCTCTAGCCACATCTGAGAACATCTCATGTGGGACTGAGGTAGGAATTTAAGCTACTTGTATGTGTCCTGCACACCCAAGATGCTCATGAAGCCTAAGCTGGTCTCAGACAGGCGGTGAGCCCGGGTGAGCCCAGGCATGGGAGGAAAGGCAAAGCCCTTTGCAGCATCAAGCAAGTCATACACAGGCGTGAGCACAGTGGAAAGACCTGCAGAAACCAAAGACAGAGGCAGCAGGATGATGGGTGGCTGTGATGAATGTGTATGTGCACAAGGAACTTTGCAAAGACATTCAGAAACCATCCGGACATTATTCAACCTATGAGCATGAAGAGAAAAATCACCAAGTGAAAGGCACTGAAATTAGAACCCAGAATGAGGAACAAGGCGACAAAATTGTGTAAGCAATATAATTAAGAGACACAGAAAGGTATAAGGTCATCCATAGAAGTTCAGAACAGGCAACCCTGGTCCCACAGTACAGACTAAAACTTGGAGCAGAGGGAGGCCTTCCAGTGTATGAAACATCGATGCAGGCTCACACTAACATGTCTGTTAGTATTCAGGCATTTGCACTGGCCTGCTCTTGGGGATCTGACAGGATACACCCTCAGCTGCAGCCACTAAGAGCACCACCTGTGCACATTCACAATGTTCCCTTTTAAGGGGCCCTGCCCACCTATCCTCCTCTCTTTCTCCCTCTGACTGTTCCTCTCTCCCTGCCTTTCTGTTTTCTCTCTCCCACTGCTCCTGTCCCCTGAGGCCGATCTTCCCTGCTCCCCTTCCCCCTTTTACAATCCCTTTCCCTTAATTTAAAAAAAAAACTCCTCTTGAACTCTGTTCCATGGCATCTTTCTCTCTCAGTTTTGTTTGTTTTTAATTACAGCAATGTCTATACAAGAGAATGAAGAGGCAGGCATTTATACTATCTCACACCTCTTATCCATCTGTTTTAAACAAATGTTTTAAATAAAACATTTATTTTAGGAGTAAGCTGCAGTGTTTAGGGGTACACAGGCAGACATAGTTTGACCTCTCTACTCCTATCACCCTCTATCAACTCTCACTGAAGCCACAAACTCACATCACACACGTGTATCATACAACCACTGTTTTCACTGAAGCAATGATTTCTTTAAATTTACTTTCAATTATGTATACATACACATGTCTGTCTTATGTGGGTATGTGCAATTGAGTGCAGTACTTGCAGGGTCCAGAAGAGGGCAACAGATTCCCTGGAACTGGAGTTACAGGAGGTTGGGAGCCACCCAGCATGCATGCTGGGAACTGAACTGGTACAAGAAGAAACTGAGCACCACTTCAGAGCAGTGACCAGCAACACAACTGTGATATGCTGCAGCTACCATAAGGTGACATGAAGACATGTGATTCCTTCTGGTAACAAAGCAGTTAATGTATGGGCCCTAAAAACAAACCACAGCCTGCTTCAGAAGGGAAGGAGAGACAGGAGTAAAGCTGTCCCATCACTCACACCCCACAAGTCCCAACTCCCTCACTCTATCCAATAGCCTTAGTACGAGGCCCCATCTCACAGCCCTACCATCAATTATGTAAGGGTGTCCTCATGCACTTTACAGAAAGTCTGAATGTGGCGGTGTCACAAGCTCCATTAAGGCAAAACAGAAGAATGAGGTGTGCAAGCACACACCTTCCCACACGTAACAGGGCCTACCTTAATGGGGGGCTTCCGTGTGATGTGGGAGACAAGGAAGTTCATAGCAATATCCTCACAGTTGATGTACTCATCCACCATGTCTCGGATGGCCTGGGGCATCACATAAGAATACAGGTAGGCATAATACTGTCAGGGAAGAAAGGACCACAACACTGTTAGAAGGTCTTTCACTTTCAGCACAAATATTCATGGCTCTAGGGGCTGTTGGGTTGTGTGGGAAGGTGCTTAAGAGGTAGTCACAGTGAGGATGCACTACTGACATTTAGGGACTGAGAGCCAGGAAATGATGAGCATCTTGCAATGCAGATTAGACTATGAGAATATCTCATGTCTCAGCTTGCATCTTCACAGTCTACAAGAAAGCCCTCACAAAAGCCAGTTCAATGGGTTGAGGAGCTGGCAAAAGCATCCTGTGAGGGGCAATGGAAGTGACTTCCTCATTTCAGAATAGTGATTCTGTGGTGCTGGAAATGGAACCCAAGCCCCTTGAACATGAGGGCAGTGCCTGCCACACTTCAGAACAGGAATTCTTCAGAGCCCAGTTGAAGACTTCAAAAGGGAAAAGTATATGCCAGCATCACTCACTCAAAAAAAAAAAAAAAAAAAAAAAAAAAAAAGGATGCAGGGGCTGGGGTAACAACTCAATGGTTAAAAGTGCTTGCTTTTCAAAGTTAGCAACTGGAGTTTAGATCCCCCAAGCACACATAAATGCCAGGTAGGTGTGATAGCCTACCTGTAATTGCAGCCCAGGAAGGCAGAAAAAAAAGGACCTCCAGAGCAAGCTGGCTACCAAGAAGACTTATCTGCAAGCTCTGGGGCTCACTGAGACCTTGACTTAATGATTAAGGTAGAAGATGATCAGAGATGATCCCTGACATCGGCCTTGAGCCTGCACAGACACATCCATGTGCTTACACACATGTAAATGAATCCTACACATACATACATACATACATACCACACACACACCTGAAAAAAACAAAAAACAAATTTAAGTCTTTAAAAAGATAAATGTAGTATGAGCCTGTGTGGCATTTTAAATGTCCTTATAACCATGTTAAAACTAAAAAGAACAGAGCTGTCACTTAGCAGCGGGGCACTTTGCACACCCCAGCTTAGTTTTGATCCCAAGTAGCACCACAAAGGAAAAAAGACAGTGGCGGCACATGCCTCCGGTTCCAGCACTTGGAAGGCAGAGGCTGGCAGATCCTGAGTTCAGGTCAAGGTCACCCTGCTCTATATAGTGAGTTTCAGGGCAGCCAAGGATATGTAAAGAAACCCTGTCTCAAAGAAAACCAAAACAGGAGGAATGAAAGTAGAATGCCTTACTTACGCCATTTACCAAAACTAACTGCATTTCAACAAGCAAACATAAACATTTCAGGCATTTCATGATTTCTCTCATGCATATTTTCATACTTTGGTGTTCTTTGTGTATCCTAGCACACTGCAGCTCTGACCAGACACCCAATAAGAACTCGGGAGTCATAAGAGGCCAGCGGTTATGTTGCAGATCAGAAGAAATGTAGAAAAAAAGGACAAAAAGCAGCAAAATAGAGAGGTAACAATGCAGGGAAGGCATGATGGCCGAAGGCACCTGCACTGTGGGCGTTCAGTGAGTCCAAACCCTAATGTGAAAACTGTATCTCTGGGAAGAAGTGGCAAAGCCCTTGACAGAGGTCCACAGTGGACCTTGCACAGTGGCAAGCAGTCTGAGCCAGAAGAGTGCCAGGCTCTGGCCTGACTGAGCCACATCTGGGGTGACCGTGCTGGAAGTAGACAATAGCCAACAGGTCTTTCAGTCTTGTGTGTTATGCGAACCCACTAGAGTCTGTTAACAGCTGCAATCCAGCTGCTGTATCCTACCATTCTGCCAGGGGAGATGAGGACCAATCACTCCTTGCTCTGGTTCTGACCACCCAAGAGAGAAGGTGGAGTCTAATCTGTTCTGTATCAGTGAGTGTTTATCCCTATCTTATGCCTAAATATATTCCTGAGACCCTTTAACAGATTCTCATGGTTTCACGTAGCAAGTGGCGTCCGACACCAACATGACCTGAGCCCAATGACCTGAGGCAGTGGTGCCCTCAGCTGTCCATAGGGAGAGGCAATGGTCTACAGGCAATCCTCATGGTCCACAGGCAGTCCTGGTCCTGACTTTCAGTTACTTTGTTTTATTTCAGTTGTTTTCTTGACTTGAAATGGAGCCTCACTGTATAACCTAATCTAGCCTCAACCCTGTAATTCTCCTACTTAGCTATAGACCACTGGGATTCCTGGTGCAGGCCACCATGTTCAGTTATCACTCCATTTCTTCAAATGAAGGGATAGCTTGCCTCTGGCCTAAAAGGAGCACATAAGCAGAAAGGCTGGTATGAAGGCAGCATTCACTCCCACACAAGCTCACCCTTACTAAACACAGACCACTGAACCCAGCATTTTCTTACCTTGTGAAAGAAGGCAGCACCTGTCAGCACCATGGACAGCTCACAGGAGTAGTTGGAGTTGTAGAGCCAGGACTGGTGAGGGATGTCCCAAGCATGGTACCGGCCAGGGAAACCCACAATACGATCACGTGCCTCTCTCCACACCCTTGAAAACACACACACTTAAAATGAGCACTTTTATCCGGCCTGCTTTGATCCTTAGGTGTTTGCATTTTCCTTTTATTTCAGTTTCTTCTTTAAAAAAAAAAAAAAAGTCAGACAAGCAAATCAGATAAAAACTACATACACAGTGTCATCCGTAATCTGATTATCACCCCCAAGTGTCTCTCCAGTGTCTAGTGGGAAGATTACATGATAAAGATCTCCAGAAGGGGACAATCTGCTAAGAATCAGGAGATTCCAATTCCTGTTTCATTTCTTTAAAAATTTGTTTTCAATGAACATGGCACATATATTCCACAGAACATGTATGCAATTTCGCTACCCTGAGTTCCTGTTCTTCCTGACCCAGAGGGTACATGTGAGAAGCACTCAGATACCACAGGCAACCACGGTGGTGAGGAGAACCCATTTCCTAAACTAAACAGGACCCAGAGAAACCCAAAGTGTAAAGCTGTCCACAGACCATCAAATGTGGGCATCAGTTAAATGCAAGAGAAATAAATGAGAGAACTGAGCCCAGCTCTGAAAAATCTGAAGAAACTTGTGTGCATGCATGCGTTCACAATGTACATGTAAAGGTCAGAGGACAACTTTGTGGTGTTGCTTCTCTCTACTTTTATTCTGGGTCCAGGATCAAACTTAAGTCACTAGGTTTAGCAGGCAAGCGCCCAAGAGAAACTTTTATATCATTCCCAAATCTATAGCTAAGTCAAAACAAATACAATCAGTTCGCAGTTTCACTGGCTGAAATTGGAGCTGAAAGCATTTCAGTCCCAGGGGCTGGCAGCTGCAAAAAGGCCTCAGCAACTGCAGCAGCCTGAGAACTCCTAACCGCTTCAGGGCACTTCAATCCCCAAAACGGAGTTTGAAAGCAGCTGATCTCGCAGATGACAACTCACAACTTCCTCCACAAAATAGGGCCTTGTAAGGTTTCCTTTTTTAAACAATGGAATTTTTATTGTGGCAAATTATCTTCATTTTTTTAAGGGTATACTATCCAGTGGCATTAAAGACACACAACTTGTGTCACAGTCACCAACATCCGCCTCCAGGACCTACCAACCCTCCTGCACTAGAAATCTGAGTTGCTACTCATCTTCCTCCGCCTGGCTCACACCGCTCTTATTGTCCCCATGAATCAGACTTCTAGTTGCTTCGTCTGAGTGGACCACACAGTGTCTCTCTCCTCTCTGTTTACACTTCTGACTGTTACTGTGATTCTCTTTCCAATATGAAAGTTCTGCATGAGCACAGAGCGAGTGAAGATTGAGTGCGACAGAGGTGCTGCCTGCTACACACCCAACGGGGAGCCAACAGCTAGATTATGAAGACCTCAAAAATGTAAACAAAGGGAATAAGACATACAAATGGGCAATAATCGCATGAGAAACTGTCTGACACCCTTCATTATCAGGAAAATGCAATCAAAATCACCTCGTGGGTTCACTTTACACAGTCAAAATGGCTATCATCAGGGAAACAAACAAGTTCTGGTGAGGAGGTGTGGACACACAGGGCCCTGACACATACAGGAGTCTAAGTCCCGCCACACAGAAAATCGGCATGGAGTCCCCTCAAGGAGTTAAAGTACAACCTTTACTGAAAAGGATCCAAGGCTGCTTCCTACAGAGACACATTTACTGTGGCATTCTACAGAGGCCCCAGGTGCCCATCCATTCATAAGTGGATAAAGACAGTGTGGCACACAGACACAGGAACAAAGAATGAAATCATGTCATTCTTAGGATCATGGATGGAGCTGAAGTTCATCATGTGAACACGAAATAAGCTGGACTCGGGAAGACAAATATCTTTTCTATCAAGTGCTGATGCTAAGGGGAAAAGGACATGAAATTAAAGGTAAATGGAGAAGACAGGACATAAAGGATGAGTACACAAATTACAACCTACGGAGGCACAGAAACGCCACAATCAAGTCCCTAGCTCCATACAACTGATATAACCTAATGAAACCTAAAGCAAGCACACTGTGCCTTTCACTCTGCCTTTCCTGCCTACAGATGTTGGTTGGGATCTACCCCTAAAGACAGTGTCTCAGGTCGGTTTTTGAAGGCTAACCCCCCCCACATTCTGAATGGGTGCTAGAAGATACACTTGAAAGGGATTCCCTACTTTCTCGCCATTCAGAAAAGGTCAAAAAGCTACAGTTGACAAAGTAGGCCAGCACCTCTGTGAATTCAAACTCCTCAGAGCTGGGACTCCTATCTCGGTCATTCTTGGGAGGGAACCTAGGAGTGACTGAAGTTCTCTTAACACCTCATGGTCACATCCACAGCTCCCAGCCCCTCAGCAGGCATTAAGTGTGTCCTGACACATCAAAAATAACAGTCATTTCCCACCATCAACACCTGCAGTGGCAAAGACCATTCCTGGAGCTCTTCTAGGCTTTTCTCCTTTCCTAACAGGGAAAGCAACAGCTGTTAATTACCATGGACACCAGCCCAGTTAGCAGGACTTTCCTTTTTCAATCTCAGTCATCCACCACAGAGGAAGCAGGGCACTGCAGACCTTCTGTCAGAAGTAAAGATGCTATTTCTGTCATCTGTGCCTCAGCAGCAAAAGGATGGAACAGAAGACAGGGAAACGCCATGGCAGTAGACTCCTGTGCTTCTCAATGAACTGCCTAACAAACTAGTCTTTCCTAATTTATATGAACTGAAACTGACAAAATACAATAAAAATGGTTTTGTAAGTGCTACTAAGAAACACAAAATGATAAATTAGAATTTATCAAAATTTAAAAACTCTGTGCTTCTAAAAATGGCACAAGAGTACAAAGTCAGCCTGCTGGGTGGAAGGCTCTGCACATCTCTCTGACACAGAACACACACACATCTAGAATAAGGAACTCTGATAACTCAGTAATAAAGGGATAAATAATCTGTCAACCTGATTACATCTGGAATTTACTAAAATCCCAAAATGGACAGGCACGCCTGTGAGGGATTTTTGCTGAATGTGAATAGGGAAGAATTTCTGTTAGTTATGTTACTCTGAAGAACCCTGACAATATACAATCCAAACAAAAGTAGGCAAAATATCTGAATCAACATCTCTCTAGCAAAGGCATTCAATATTCAATGGTCAACTAATTCATAAACACCTGAAGAGACGATCAACATCATAGTCATTGGAGAAAACAAATCAAAACTGCAAAGGGAGACTGGGGAGATGGCTCAGTCCATGAAGTCAAAGCTGACTTCTGGCCTCCAGACGTGCATGTACATGCACGCACATACCTGCATGTGCACATCTATCTTGAACTACACCACTTCACACCCGCTTAGGATAGTCATAAAATAAAACTCAGTAAATGTATGCACTGGCAAGGATATAGGTCAAGTGGCATGCTCGTTAACTGCTGGAATGTAAAAAGGTGCAGATACTTTGAAAAGCAGTTTATTAGCAGGCCCTCAAAACACCAAAACATCTGCCCTCTGGCCCAGTCACCCCACAGCTGGGTATGTACCCAAGAGAAATGTTCCTATCCAGATGCACATGAACGGGCACAGATAGCACTGTGCTTCACTGCCAAGTTGTAAAGACCCAAATGTCCATTAGTACAATTAAGATAGACAACACAGGCCTGGTGATGAGCACCTTTAATCCCTGCACTCTGGAGGCAGAGGCAGGCAAATCTCTGCATTCAAGAGCAACCACTTATAAATTGCAAGTTTCGGGGCAACCCCAAAACTACATAGTGCTACATAGCGAGACCCCATCCATTTTTAAAATGATTTATGTGCATTGCTTAGTGTTCTGCATGAATGTTTGTGTGAGAGTGTCAGATCCTCTGGAACTGGAGACAGAGACAGTTGTGGGCCGCCCTGTGGGTGCTAGGAATTGATCCCAGGTCCTCTGGAAGAATAGCCAATAGTCTTAACCATTGGACCATCTCTCTAGTGAGTCCTGAGACCCTGCCTTTAAATGAAGAAAGAAAATGTGGCACATCCATACAACGGGAATGAAGTGCTGTTGCATGCTATGAGATAGATGCCCCTAGAAACATAAGGTGGAGTGTAGAAACCCAGCCACAGGAGGCCACTTGTATTCACAATAGGAAAATCTACAGTTCAGTGGTTGCCTAGGACTTTCAGGGCTGGAAGATGACAGAGGGTGGTTGATGGATACAGTTTCTTTTGGTGATAATGTTTTCTAAAATGGACTGTGATGACTGTATAAAAATCTACCCAACTCTATACCTGGATGTATGAGTGGGATTGCACATAAATTACATCACTGAAAACTTAGTTTCAAACAAAATGTTCATCCTTGGGTGTTACCACCAAGGCAAGTCTAAAACACCACTTCAATTAATCCATTCATTCACTTATGTTTGTAACTGACATTGTTCTTTGTGATGGAACAGAAATTAATAATACATTTTCCACAATGACCCCTGGGTGCCACAGTGAATGCCAACTTTTTGAAAAGGTTCTAAATGCTCAGTGAGGTATCTTACTGACCTCACTGTGGATGTTTCACGTACTGACCTAAGCCCACACACCAGTGATGACCCACTCAGAACCCCCAACCCACTTCATTCTCTTACAGGCAGTGTAAGCCCCAGACCACCTGCACAATGAATATTCTCTGGTATCTCAACCCACTCCTATAGATCATGTACACAAGCTACAACTTCCCCCATCAGACCCTAGGCTGTACTGGCTCCCCTTGTTCATTAATTCGATTAGACACAGCCCTGGATTGTGTCTGTGACTGCTCTGACCTCATACGGGGGGGACTCGTCCATTGACGAATTTATAATGTGGTTGGCTTTATTGGGAGAGGGTAGGATCCTAGTTGGAAGGGCAAGCTTACTGGGGACATGTCTCGGGGGAGGGGGGGAGGGGGGACACCCTGACCTGGTCCCTTTCCAAAGTCAGCCATTTCTCTGCTTTCTGTCCGTCATGACAGAGAATCTTCTCTCCACACATTCTCCTTGCCTTGCATGTGCATGGAGCCAGCCACCCATAGACAGGGTGCTGCAGAACCTGAGTCAAATCAATCTTTCCCGTGTTGATTCTGTCAGGTATTTTGTCATAGCAAAAATTAACTCATCCCAGGGCGTTAGTGAGAGAAGCGCAGGTTCTCAGGTAGTCCCCAGCACACAGCATGGGTTTAACACTTCCTCCTCCTCCCTTTTCCTGTTAGTCCCCTGTCCCGCTTATACTTCGGGGCCAGTACTCTGGCTCTGTCCCATTCCTCAACAGACAGTCCTTCGTTCCTTCCACTATGTAGAAGTTGGTTCTCACTCCTACAACACAAACCTATTTCCTCATCTCTAGGAGGCTGGGTTTAAGGAAGACAGACCTGCAGGTCCGGAAGAGGCTAATTACAGACTCCCACCTCCCTGGCCCCAGAGGAAGAACCTTCTGGGATCAGAGAAGTCTGAAAAGGATAATTGGGAGTCAGCCAAACCACTGAGACCGGAGACCAGCCCCATCCTACAATGCCTGACAGCCTCAGTTTCTCCTCTGCTGTCAGCTGAGAATTTCAAATTGGCTTTTATCACTTTTCACACTGAAGTGTTTGAAAATCTGTCCCTCACCGAAACCCAAACATGATTTCATCATGACGGAGGTGGAGCATCGTCATCGATAGACAGTATGGCCTCTGTCTCGATCTCATTCCAGGGCAAGAATCGATTGTTCAAACTGTTTTTCTCAGTACGGACAACCTGAAACGAAAAGAGGAAAACACAAGGAATCAACACTACATCACAGATGTCTCAAAGTGACTTTAGTTCAACTGGTGAATCTAGCATGTGCCTCTCAATGAAGCTGCCTCCCATTCAGGACACACAGGATGGTCTCACACTAACCATCAGCCATTGTAAACTGCCTTTCTCATGAAACAAACACTGAGGATTACTTTATATAATGAAGAAAGTCTAGGGGATTTAACGTTTCCCAAAAGAACACAAAGTGGCAGGGCACAGCTGAGTCCAGGTCCCAGAGCTCGGGTCTACTCGATTGCTCCCAGACTTCTAAAGGACACTTAGAAATTCTCTTGCATGTATCTCATTTCTGGCTGATACCACACACGCACGCACGCACGTGCAAGCGCGCACACACACACACACACACACACTCACACTTACACTCTAAAGTCTTTGGGAGACAAACCTTTTGAGGAAGGTGTTTATCAGTTCACCCTTGTGGAGCCCACCCACAGTGTTGACATCTACCATCTACAGTGCTCACTATGCATACAAAATCTTTCCCTTTCTTCATAGGGGTGTGCACACCAGGTTGACTTGCTCTGATGCTCAGGGAGGCATCTGCGCCGGGTCTTCGGACAGAGTGTTACTTTGGTAGAGGGATAGAGGAAAAATGTTTCAGTCAGGAGACTTGGCTGAGATCAAGGGTAGATAGACTTCTAGACCTGGGATACACTTGCTGCTTGGTGTCAGGAGAAGGTTATCCTTAGTGCAGGGCAGATGGCCACGGAAGTGAGATGACCATCCCAGCTTTCTGAGTCCCTGTGACATCCTCTTTACTTTCTCAGGGTAAAATGATGCTTCCTCATTAGTTGGACTAATAGTTAAGGAACTTGTGGTTTGAATGAGATATCCCCATAGGTCTGGTTCCCAGCTGGTGGCTGTCTGAGAAATTCAGGTGGTGTGCTTGGCTATAGGAAGTGTGTCACTGGTACATGAGTTAAGAGTTTAGACTTGATGGGCATGGTGGCACACGCCTTTAATCCTAACACTCAGGAGGCAGAGGCAGGTGGATCTGTGAGTTTGAGGTCAGCCTGATCTATAAAGCAAGTTCCAGGACAGCCAAGGATGTTACAGAGAGAAACCCTGCCTTGAGAAACCATACACACCACACACACACACACACACACACACACAGTCTCTCTCTCTCTGAGTTTCCTCTCTGCTTCCTGCTGGTGGGCCAGCATGTGATCACTCAGCATGTGATTGCTCAGCTTCTCCCCAGCTACCATGCCTGCCCCTATCGTGTGTCCCTGTCATGACAGATTCTTGTTCCTCTGGAACCGAAAGCCCAAATAAACCCTCCATTCTGTAAGCTGCCTTGGTCATACTATTCTGTCACGGTAAGAGAAAAGTAATGACTTCAGTACTATGAACAAGGGAGTTATCACAGTGCCAACAGTGATGTCACTGTGACTTGCTCCAGCCCAGCTCCGCTCAGGACTGTTACCTGAGGGGAGGGGTGAAGGTATTTCTGTTGGGCCCTGCTGTCAGTTCTGGAGAGAACGTCTACTTTGCGCATGTGCCTGATTTTGGAGGTCTTTGAGTGGAGACTGGCTGAAGCCCCTGCTCTTTAATGCCCCAATCCCTGGTCTGCTAAACAGCTAAGTTGGCTAACTTGACGAACGTCTTCAAACCAAAGCCACCATGGAGAATGTATCATTAGTTCCTGTTCCATCACAGAAAATGACATCAATTACAAACATATATGAAGTGACAGATTAGTTGGAGTGCTAATTAGACAGGCTGCAGCTCCACAGGTGGTTCAGTCCCATTAACACCAAGAAGGGTCACAACTACACTGCTCCAGATGTCAGAGCCCAGCAACAGACTAGCCCCAGGAATATTTAACCACTTAAAAAAAAAAAAAACATCCAGGTTTGTAGCCAGGGGTCTCCTAAACTCAAATTCAGTGGTAACAGAACAAAAAGGCTAAGTTCTGGGTCAGGGGACAGACTGGCCACTTAACAGGCAGAGATTACCAAAATGGCTAAAGTAAAAAGAGACCGACCATTCTAGAGAACAGAACACAGAAGAATATTGCTCAGTGGTAAAAGACTTGCCCCCAGTGTGAGGCACAGCCGGAGGGAAGCCACCAACACCTTATTCTTTGTTCCCCAGGGAGCAGAAAGGTGACAGGAGTGGCAGGCCCCAAATGCAAGTCTAGTGATGGGTAAATCCCATCGACGTTAAGATGCTCTCGATTTCAGAGATGTTATCACGTAAGATCATGTGACCACCTGAGAGGATGGAACAGGGTGACTGTTCACGCAAACTGCCTCATCATTCATTTGCTTTCCTAGCATACCTTGCATCTACTCAAAACACTGTAATTCAGTCCTGCAGAACACAGCCACTCCTCAGCCCAGAAGATGTACACAGAGAAATTCAACCCCTCAAGCTTCTCTTTAAGACTATCAGTTCTGTGCATTGATTTCCTGCATGATGATCTTCAGAGCCTGAGCATTTGGTATGACTCAAAGCCTAGCTACAAGGACATGGCCAGGACTATCGGAAATAGGAACTCCACTTGCACCAGACAAAGCTGCATTTCCCAAGAGCCCCAGAAGATGGCTCTGCACGGGTGCAAAGACAGCTGCATGACTACAGAGCCTATCTGAAAAGCAGAGCAATTCCACTCCACCTCTGATGGTGTGAACCTGGTGACTCCTTCATTGTCTGCAGAACCTGGAGTCAATTACCAGCAAACAACCAAGCTCTGGTCCAAAAACAGGGACAAGGAAAATGGAAGTGATGAGGATGAGCTGCCGCCCAGAACAGACAGAAGTTTTCATTTGCAAACTGCAGTTCACAGGGGGGCTCCTTGCTCACCCTTCCCTACTGCACTTGAGAAAGGGTCTCTCTATGTTGTCCTGTCTGTCCTGGAACTCACTATGTAGACCAGGCTGGCCTCAAACTCAGAGATTCACCTGCCTTACCTACCAAATGCTGGAGTTAAAGGTGTATACTATCATCACACATAGCTCCTTCCTTAAGACCTGAGTAGGACTGACCACAAAGCTGGGAATCCAACAGCAAACAAGATCTGGCCTGGCTTCACAAGCAAGTTTGTGTATAAGTTCACTGAATTCCATCCCTGGGATGTCTGTCAAAAAACCCAAGAGTGAAGAAAGGGAAAGTTCTGATTCAGAAACCTTAGGGGGAGGTTTCACCTTTAATCCCAGCTCATGGGAGGTAGGAGGGGGAGGGATGTAAACTGAAGGCCAGCCCAGCTGAGACCCTGCCTCAAAACAAAAACAGATGCTGGCTTCAAAGCCATAGTGCTTAATCGCTAGACTGATGCTCAACAACTAACCATTGTCGGTTTGGGCAACAAAATCCTCACAGAAAGACTCAGTCATTCCTAAACACAAGTGCACACAGATCAACACTGGCTTCTAGAATGTAAAAGAAACAGGTCAACTAGAAGAATTTAGTAAGATCCACATTTTTGTTGCTATTTGTTTCAAATTACAACAGTAATCCTCCACCCTGAGTACCCCCCCCAAAAAAAACCCAGCTGTTTCTTCACGTTGTGCCTAAAAGGTGTATTACAGACTTTGTTTACACTTCAGTAACTCCAAGTTTCTGCTTTAATTACAAGCCTGGCACCGAGCAGAAGGAATGACACATAGTGACAGCACAGAAATGTCCAGTACCGTGTCATACAGACGGTGGAGGAGTAAGTGGGCAAAAGGCATGGGAACAAATCAGTCCTGCAGTTTCCAGAATATGACAACAAACTGGTCAATTTACAGACTGAACCCTCAACATAATAAATAATACTAAAGGATGATAATGAAACAAATTAGGAGATCCTTAAGTATTTGTTTTGTTTTATTTTTTCTTCTCACTATGTTATTCAGGCAGGCCTTGAACTCAATTTGTAGTCCAGGCTGGCCCTTAACTTGCAGTCCCCCTGCCTCCAACTTCTCGATTACTGGGATTACTTGCATGTGCCATCACATTTGACTTCTAACCTAGCTTTCCAAAGGGGGTGGAGGTGCAGGATCTACTGGCCTATGTCAATCAAGTTGGAGCAACTCTCAGTAACAATTGCTTGTTTCACACAGCACACTCCCAGGTCAGTTGGCCATCTGTTACCGTCCTTCACAGAAGTCTTGACCCCCGTCGCATCTTCTCAACACAATGCAGTGGGCCAAGATGGCAATCCTAGCCTGGAACCTGCCACTACACTCGTCCTTTACGTCACTAAGATTACACAGGCTCAACCCAGCCTAACGGCATCCAGCCTCTACCAATGTCACACGCACAGTGCATTTCTGTAGCCAACCTCATCTCAGACCATCATACAGAGGAGAGATGGAAGGAGCAGCTGCTTCCTCTAACTTAAAGCAAACCACAGAGCTCAAGAATGAAGAGCTTGAGGCCTAGGAAGCTGTACCCATCATGTCTCTAACATGTGAGCACCAACATCAAAGTGAGGTCATAAGGGCACTGGCTTGGTGAACAGATGGGAGGAGCCAAAAGGAAGAAAAGCAAGGGGGCGGGATTAAGAGTAGCAGTGAGCTGGTTTTCATTCAAACTATGAGGCTAATGCAGCACAAAAACAGTACATGTTTTAACTTACGAGATGAGCCTGTTTGAACTTTTAAAAGCTGACGGGCCCTGTGAAAGCACTAGTAAAAAGCACTAATTAGAGGGTTAGCCTCCATGGAGATGATGCACACAAAGGCCACACTTAGCACCGAGAAAACACTGAAACAGTTAGAGAGCTAGGCTTGATGTGCACCTCTTTCCCAGTATGCAGAAGAGTGAGGCAGGAGGAACACAAACTCAGGACCAGCCTGGGTTACAAATGGCAAGTTCTAGCCCTAACAGCAAGCCTCTGCTTTCCAGCCATTAATACTGCTCAAAGTCACTGCATCCTGAAACTGGCACAGCCTTGCCTAGCCTGAAACATGCTTTACACATAGTTATTTTACAGTTTTAATTTTATACATTATATATTTATATTATTTACTCATAAGCAATCTTGCGTCTTTTCAGGAATTTTGGGCTTGGTACAAAAGAAAAGCTATGCATTAAATTATAGCTGGAAATCCTGAAACCTACTCCTACTTTGGACATCAAGGTGGAAAACTTACTTTGAAAAGCATTATAAACAGAGCTCTTGCTGACCCTGACACCTGCCTCCACCAAGAGGGTCAGCAATTTCAACTGTTGCTCTAAATACCTGTTTCCCTTAAGCAGGAAGCACAATCAAAATATTTAGCCAACTAGACTGAAATTCTCTAACTTGAAAAGTCTTTCCTTTTAAAAATAACTAGAAAAGACTACATGCTACTACAGAAAGTGTGTTAGAACGGTCCATTTGGAGAATTTCTGGCATTTCTAGTTAGGTATCATATTACTGCAATGGGCTGCCCAGAAATCACGGGGGACTCTCATTTCCCACCAGATTAAAGAAAGGATTAGTTCTGGCAAGTTCTCTGGAGGATCTCAGTCATCGCTTACAGGAAATAGGAAGCCAAGTCTGCTCTGCCATCCACCGTATGAGGAAAGCCGTTGCTCACAAAACAGCACATTTTAAAACTCAACACCTGTGTTAGCCACTGTTCTGCTGCTGTAAAAAGATATCATGACCAAAGCAACTGTAATAAGAGAAAGTATTTAACTGGGAACTTGCTTGATGTTTCATAGGGTTAAGTCCATCATCACCATGGTGGGAGCATGGTGGTAGGCAGGCAGGCAGGCAGGCATGGTGCTTGAGAAGTAGTTGAGAGCTATATCCTGGTCCACAACAGAGAGCTAGACACTGGGCCTGGTGTGGGCTTTGAAACCGCCTCCAAAAAGGTTTCAGTCCTAATCCTTCCCAAACAGTTCAACAACTGGGGACGAAGCATGCAAATATATAAACCTACAGGGGCCACTCTCATTCAAATCATAACCCAAAACAAGAAAAGATGCACACTTTACTTGGGTAAGTCAGAGAAAGCTCACCAGTTACAGTATACATCATGCTACTGCTGCTCTGAAAACATTGCAAAAGTAGACCGCATGATGGTGCACACCTTTAATTTCAGCACTCAGAAGGCAGAGGCAGGTGGATGGATGTCTTGGTACATAGTGAGGTCCAGGGTAGCCAGAGCCAACTATGTAGTGAGACAGTGTCAGAAAACAACAAACCCAAAAGGAAACCTTTTAAGAGAATGGCTTTTCCAATGATATAAGCATTTAAAACACTGGACTAGACCCAGAACCCCTTTCTAGACAAATCATCCCAAAAAGCTCTGATTCTTCTCAAGCACAATCTAGTAATGCACAGCCAGCAGACCTTTAGTCCTTCTTCCTTCCTTTTTCTAGAAAGAACTTACAATGCAGCTAAGTGCTTGGTAGTCTTAAGAGCAATGGAGTGCATCTCCTAGATGGCTAAGTGTGGTACTGTAGGCTGACAGGCAGAGTCCAGAGAAACCACACTCCCCTACACACTCAGCTAATGTGTCCCCTGTACCCATGACTCAGACACAGCAAAGCATTAGTACAGCCTGCAAGATTTTCAACTCTCAAGTATCAAAATCCCCAGCTTCCAGAGGCTTCCACTGTACCCCAGGAGAAGACCTGTGCCACTTCCCTCCTTTGGGAGTGGCCGAGATGGAAGCCTCTGGACTTGAACATGCTTAAGCACAGTTCCTGTTACCCACCAATTTTGGCGAGAGCTAGAGAAGAGACGTAGAGACTACACAGTGCCTACTAAGTGCCCTAGGGCAGCATTCTCTTACTACTATCATCAGTATGGAAGATGCCCAAAGGATAACGGAGGGAGCTTTGTGAACCTTCATGGCTCCAGCATCAATTCCTATTGTGGGGGGTACCAGGGAGACTTAGGACATGCTGGGCAATAATGTAACCAGCATAGCCTGAAAAGCAGCAAGCAGAAACTTCACAGGGAAAGGAACCTAGAGGGGTTCATAAATAGATAAATATGCTAGGCCAGCATGTAAAAGGCCCTGGGCTCAAACCCTAGCACAAGGATAGCACACACACACACACACACACACACACACACACACACACACAGAGTATATTCACCTCTGCCACTAGTGAGGAAGCAAAAGTGATAAAAGCTAGAAAAGGCATTAAGAGTGTGGTACTATTCCACGCAATAAAATGTACTGCCCAATTCTATTACCATGATGGGAACACCAATGTCTGGCCACAAAAGGTCCTCCGAGGGCAGCTTGGGAGAGTTCCATACCACCACTACCTTGTTGAGGTAGGGGAGGCCGTTGAGTCTCTCCAGGGAGTTCATGAGCACTTCCTCCCGCTCATAGGTCAGCATCACAACTGTGAACTGCTCCCGCTGGACATTGCCTCCGAGTGCTGCCTGGAACTCCTTGCCAGAGCCCCCAGCCCCACCTCCAATGGGCCGAAATCCAGTCCCTGAGCCCAGGAATTTGGCCTCAGAGGGCAAGACAGGGTCAAAGGGTGTGTGGGGGAAAAGATGGAAAGGTCCAGGTGCAGAGTTCCAGCTACGGTAACAGTCTGTGACAGTCAGAGTAAAGTTGCGGAGGTATTTGGGTGAGGCATAGGGTGGTTCTGTCTCTACTGGCCCCAAGTCCAGGTCCCCATTGTCAGCCATGTTGGGGTCAGTTCCGGCTGCTTTTCCTGAACGATGGGGGATCTCAGCTGCTACTTCTTCCCGGATGGGAGCAGCCGGGATCTGGATGCGAGTCCTAATCATGGCCAGCACGGTATTAAAAATACTGTCAGCAGTGGAGAAATAGGTTTCCCAGAGAAAGCGGCCTTGCCGCCTCATAGCCAACAGGTCACTGTCTGAAAGACTTCGTAACAGGAAGTGAACCTCTGTAACGCGTGGCTTGGGTACCACCAGGGCAGCCTCATTCCACTCCAGCATGTCATGGTACGGGAGCTGTACCTGCTCCCCCAGTACAACTGGCACAGCTCCCACTTCCAGGGCTTCAAAGAGCCGTGTTGCACACCCAGATGAAATAAGCAAGTGCGGGTCCCCAGGAGTGATGATGAGGGCAAAGGTGGAGAGCTTCAGCAACTCCAGCCGGTCTTCCCGCTCCCCACAGAGTGCCCACTCGGTAGGCAGACTGGGCTTTGGCTGGTTTTTACACGTAAATTCTACCAGCACCTGATCTAACTTGCTGTCCTGTACAGCCTTTAGGGTGGCAATGATCCGGTCATCATAGTCGGCTGGAGGGTCACCCTCCATTTCTTCCTCAAAGGAACGGGCCTCCTGAAGGCTGGACCTCAGGGACTCGATCTTCTCACCCTGGAAAGTGAAGAGATATTTCCGCTTAACTGGCACCTGCGGTCGGATTTCCATGAAGTTGGGTTCGGACATGGCATGGACGAGTGGTGACACTACCAAATCAAAGCCAGGCCTGTACTGGGCAGCATAGAATGTGGACTGGGCCACCATGGCCCGGCCTGTACTGACATTGTACAGTAAATTCTGTGTGTCCGACTTCCGGGACAGGTTGATGATGACATGGTTGTGTCCATCCGTCCTCCAGTGTGGCAGAGAATACAGCTGCTTCTCAAGGTCGGTAGGCCGAAGCACACCAGGCTCCTGCATTTCTCCCAGTAACACCACATACAGACAGGCAATGGCTGCATTTTCTGTAACATAAACATTGGCTCTCACTGTAGCCTGGAAAGCCTGCTTGACCAAAGGGTCCAGATAGCTCCCAAAGGCAAACTGGTCACTGTCATAGACATAGACGGGAAAACCAGATGTCAGAGGACAGCGAGAGTAATCAAAGCAGTTGTGTAGCCGGCAACCCCGAGTGACCTTGGGGGGTGGGAGGCCAGCATCATCCTTCTCGGGGAGCAGTCGGATGGGCAGGGACAGTTTGGGCTGGTTCTGGGCCATCAGCTCCTTGTAGGAGTGCTCTGTCTGGCTAATGACGTTCTTGAGCTGAAGCAGATCCTGCTTGGCGTTCTCTATGCTCTTCTTACAGGCTTCGATCTTGAGGTTAAGTTTGGCGATTTCACTGTTCAGCTCCTGCCGCTTGGCTTCGAGCTGTAGAAGCTCTTCGCTCACAGACTCACGAATCCGACAAAGATCTAGAACATGCTTGACCTCACAGAGCTCGTTGCCAGCCCGAGGGCCAAAGATGCGCTTGCCAGCTTCATCTGCCTCATCCAGAGTGGTGAGGTAATAGTGAGCGATGAGGGGGAAGAACACCAGGATGATGAAGAGTGTGAAACTCAGCCACGTCAGCCGGATACGGTTGGACCAGCGCAACATGCAGGTCTGACCACCATTCCCCACTCCCCCCATTCCGCAACATGGTATAGCCTGTCATGAGTTCTCTGTGGCTCTTACCCACTCTGATCACGTCGGATCACTCGCCATAACCATGAGTTTGTTTGACAAAACTCAACCTCTTTTTCACACACAAGTTTCTGGAAGAGTCAGTGTGCTCCCTGCACAAGGCACCAAATAAAACGGAAATTTCATTTTCCTCAGCTGTGACTCAGAAGGTCTCCAACCCCAGTCAGGCAGATCCTAAGTATTGGCTGTTGTCATCAAACAGAAAAAGGTACCACATGGCTGATGGGATGAAAAGGAAGAGATCCATGGTGTTAAAATCCAGGGGAAAGGCCCTGGGCTCGGAGGGACTGTTTTAACTGCCATAGCTTTTGTCCCTTGGCTTTGTTGACCAGCCAGTATACATAGCTTCTATTCGAGTTATGCAATGACTGATAAAAACAGCTGGTAGTTTGAAATGCCAGCCCTGTCCTCCATGTCACTACCAACAATCAGGCCTGCAAAAGAAGGAGAATCTTGTCAGTCTAGAAAAAATTATGTTCAAAGCTCCATTACCATCCCACACGCCAGCCCCAGCACAGTGGTTGCTACCTGACACCTGGGCATCCCATGAGATAAGAGGAAGCAGCATCGATAACCTTGGCCCTCTCCTAACATGAAAGTCTCCTTGTGAACTACTCAACAAAAACAACTCTGAGAAGCTCAATTTGTTAAATTTAGAGTTGAAAAGAGTTAAGAGAGCTCTTTTGAACTTCACCCAGAAATAGATAAAAGGTATTCTTCAATTTGCCTCTATTTATCTTCCATTAGCAGACATCAGGCACTATTTCTTAAAATAGAAACAGTAACCTGGTCTTTCAGAGAGAACAGCATATTTAGAAATGAGAGGCATCATCCTTCATCCTTTAGGGACCGTCCGGACCTGCTGTCGGCCCTCATATTCAGTGACCTAATCTTGTAAAATGGAGAGACGTGCATGCAGATAACAAGGTATTATCACGCTATGAAAATAAGTAGAGGACATGAGGTACTGAGACTCATAAATCCTGACACAGCATCCCCAGTTCCCTCACCAACCTCTACAAGACCAACGCATGGACGCTTTCTACCTACATTCCCTTCAAACTGAAGTCAAGTCATGCTACTCTATGCCAAAAAACATTCCACTTCATCCATGCACTTCTTCACACAAACACATTCACAGACAGGGAGAGTAGCACAGCCATTCTAGGTAGCACACAGGAGGCTGAGGCAGGAGACTCTTGAAATCAAGGCCAGCCTGCACTACACAGTAAGACCCTGATTCAAAAAAGAAAACAAAAGTGTGTATGACTGAAATATTTTTGTTGTTGTTTTGTTTTTTGACACAGAGTTTCTCTGTATAGCCTTAGCTGTCCTGGATCTTACTCTGTAGACGAGGCTGGCCTCAAAACTCACAGAGCTCCACCTACCTCTGCCTCCTGAAGTGCTGGGAAGGTGTGCACCACCACTGCCCAACTGCAATCTAACATCTGTCAAGGAGAATTGCCTAGCATGTGTAATAACCCTTGACCTCAAACTTTACAGACTCTAAGAGACGAGATAAACAACTGAAGAACATTCGTCTATCTTGTCAAATCTGTGAAGACAATCCCCAGCAGGGGGAAGGGAGATGGGAAGAAGAACCAACTTCAGGAGCACTTCTACAAGCAGTGGACTGGCTCAGAGGCTAAGCCACTCCCAGCTTCCATCTCTGCTCCAGACCCACAACTGTTAAAGTCTGATAAGCTCTTTTCTACTCTTAGGTAAAAACAAAAAGTTGATGACAATTTTACTAAGGTTTAAGGAGAACAAGTTATCAGGATGACAAAAAGTAAAACAAAATCTACCCTTGAAATACAAACTTTGGATAATTTAAACTTGATAAAGAGGGGCTGAAACAATGGCTCAGCAGTTAAGAGTGCTTACAGCTCTTGTAGAGAATCCAAGCTTGGTTCCCAGCACTCACGTGGGGTGGCTCACAACCACCTGCAACTCCAGCTCCAGGGGCTGCAAAGCCTCTGGCCTCCACAAGCACCCATGCTTATGTGCACAAATCCACACACAAACACATGATTTAAAATAAATCTCTGGGGCTGGGTATGGTAGCACAAACTTTCATCACCATTATTCATGAGGCGGAGGCAAGCAGATTTCTCTGATCTTGAAACTACCCTGGTCTACATAGCGCGTTTTAAGGCAAGACAGGGCTATATAGTGAGACCATGTCTCAAAAAATAAAAATGAAAACAAATCTTCAAACTCCGATAAGTAACATCTAGGCAAGCATCCCACATCAAGATCTGCATTTCTTTGTTTCTTTTGAAGACAGGGTCTCACTGTGTAGCCCTGGCTGTCCTCACTTGTAAACCAGGCTGGCCTCAAACTTACAGACTTGCCCACCTCTGCCTCTCAAGTGCTGGGATTAAAGGCATGTGCCATATGCCCAACTCATGAGCCCCATTTCTAAAGCACTCACATAATCCCTTTATTCAAATGTTTGTGCTTCTGCTGTTACGATGAGTAATTAACAGAATAGAGAAGCCAAGACAGAATCCAGGCCGTGCAGCCAGTGCCTTCCCCGCTCCCCTTACCCGGCAGTTCTTCCTTACTCTGCCTTATGCATTATGCTACACATGAATCTTCAAGCAGCTGACACCAGAGCTTGCTCTCTCGATTTAAAGAGAAAATGGAAAGGGACTGTTGGAAAAGTGCTCACCACTGAAGGTGCTGCTAAGGAGTTTAATTAGACTTTCTGAAAAGGATTCCAGTGCAGATCCTGTGGTCACAGAGCACACTACCAAGCAGAGCTCTTTGGAGTGAGCAGGTACCACTGACAAACACCAAGATAATGGTTTTTTGTTTGTTTGTTTGTTTGTTTGTTTTTTGCATAGGCAACTGTTGCTTGCTCAGAGTGCTGGAATGTGTGAAGCAGAATACTATAAGCTGTGGGCAGTATACAAGGACTTTCAGAAGTATGCACTGAGCTCTTTGTAGGTGAGATGTTTACACCTAGAATGGAGTTTGGGACAAATGGGGCAGGTGAGAAGCACCTGGGGGCATAAACCAACCAGCATCAGCCGGGAGCCAGATGTGCAGGCACCTGTCATCCCACAGGGAGGAAGCAAAGGCAGGAGAACCTTGGGTTCTACTCATCTGGGCAACAGGACTCCCAATGCACCCAACATACAGGCAGAGTTGACAATGGAAATGAGTGTTTGAATGGAAATGGATTCTAAAGAATTTCATCCACTAAGTCCTATCTCCTCCACCAGCATGAGCCAATTGTGTGGACTCTGCCTCCTTAACATCGACCTACAGTTTTCAAGCATAAAAGGAAGAGAAACCCTTGACTTCTCTTCTGTTTCTCTCTCATCTAGAAATAAATGCCAACACCACACTTGGGCAGAGTGATCTTCGGTGCTTCTCAGTGTGGGTACATTGTGTATCTTCCTAACCCTCACCCGCCACAGCCCTAGTGCCTGCCAACCTGCCCCATCCCTGCCTACACTGCCCCCATATACTGCAAACTAGTCAGTTTCTCCTTCCCTTAGGAATGGAATGTGGCTTCTCACTGCACCATCCCCCAAGCCCAATTTAGCCATCACCATCCCCCCTGCTCATTCAATCTGGGCTACACTGCCCCCTTGCAGTTCACCCACACCAAGTTCTGTACCGCCTGACAACCTCATTCTTGCTGTTCTGAAATATTCTGCTTTTCCTGTTGACGCTCATGCCGAAGGCCCATTTTCTTGATGCTCTGACTTTAAAGTTCCCTTTCTCAGCCCCTGACACTTGCTGAAGTTAACCTACTTTCTTTTTACTTCCTTCCTCCCTCTCCCCCTTTCCCTTCCCTTCCCCTCCCTCCTCCCTCCCCCCTCCCATCTCTTTTTTTCTTTCCACCTCCCATACTAAACCCTACTCCCTGAGAGCAGGACCCTCGTCTGCTCCAGCCTGGCTATGTCACCACTGCGTCCACTGTGAGTTAATGAATGAATTGTGTCACTGCTCAGTTCCTCAGTCCCTTAACTTCTATGGAGGGACAGTTTTAGTAACCCGCCCACATCTTTGACTCATGTTCTTTTTCTGTCTTGGGGACATCCAGTCTTCCTCCTACCTCACACTTAAAAGTATTCTGGAAGGCTCTCAGCATCATCTGTTAATGAAGCCATATGCTTTCATGATGTCAGGCATCACCTAGAAGCCACACCCTCAACACTTGTCTTGCTGCTCTGCACTCAGCCTCTCCCGAGGTCATCAATCACTTCAAGGACTTCATTTTCCAAATAACTTCTAGCTCTGCCCGCAATTCTACATTCCTCCACTCAGAAACTATGTGCTGTATTCAGGAAAGACACACCCCAGAGCAGCCAGCCCTGGATGGAACCCCACAGTTAGATGCCCATTTTACCCTGAGAGACAGTTTTCCCATCAGAAAAGCACCAGTGCCTTTGCTCAGAAAGTCTGACAAACTCAAGAGACAGCATAGCATGTAAGCACACAGACTGGCTACAAGCTTCAGTTAGTTTTCAATCTCCAGCTCCTATGTCTATATCTGGTCTCCTGCCAATCTTGCCATTCTTATTGCAATCATAATCATGATAATACAGTTGCAATAATGGTTTATAACAATTTTGACACTTTCCCCTGTTTAATTATTATTTTGCCTTCACCCTAGTTCTAGCCCACAGCAACCACAGTTTACCAACTTATCCTGTGGATTACCAAATTCGGTTTTTTTAAATCTCACTTGGGGTGAATTTCCCTGGGCCATCCTTCAACTCCCCAGTCTACCCTTCTACTACACCCTGTCCACTAATGACTGCAGTCCACACACTAATTTCAGAAACAGGATATTTTCAGTCCATGTCACTTTCTCCCTCCCTTTCCATCTTATTTCATATATTATTTGTAAAAATTAAACAATCTGGAATGATGGTAAATGCCTGCTACTTGGGAGACAGAGAGGCAAGAGGACCAACATGAACAATGTATGCAGACTCTCATCCAAAAATAATTAAATGTGATAATCCCAACCGTCCGCGGTCTTAATTTCCACCATGCCATCATCCAGTACTAAGGGGCATTTGCCAAAGTCAGCACTATGTTTTCCGATTTTCAGCCTCAAAAAGTATGAGTGAGATCAGGCCATTCAAAACTCCAGGAGGATGGGCAAGGACCTTGTGAAGTCCCACCCCTAATTGAGGTGCTTGTATAATGAAAAGCTGCTGGGATTGAGATCAGGAAAATAGCCCTGTTAAGCTGCCCATGCTCTGGTGGATTGCCTATATCCATACACAAGAGGACGGCGTACTGGACACTGGGCTATGAAAAGAGGAAAGCTGGAATGAAGATGTGGGGCTACTAAAATTAACTACATTGTATATATGTATGCAGTTCCCAACACAAAAAAAAAAAAAACAGGAGCTAAATAAAGCTCTTTATTTTCTACATTACTCAACCTCAAGTATTTTGTGAC